TGATTTATAAGCACAGAAGGCACACAGAAGACTAATCTCTTCATGCATTCACATTCCTCTTCCGTCCACCCCTTTAATGTTCAAAATGAAATCTTCCAGTGGCTGATAAAAGTAACAACTGAATTTTACAAAGGGCTCAAATTTTATGACCTTTTAAGAATCCAAAACGCATCACAGGAGTTCTTGTTTGAACACATCTCCAGAGAGTTACTACTGTGAGAGTCAGGCAATTCATAAACGCTTTTGTACCACCCAGGAAATAGGGAATGTTAAGAACTCTTGAATAATGGGATCCAGTCCACACAGTCCTCCAATAAAAGGCACATTTTTCAAATCCATAAAGATTTCTCTTGAAACATAAACAGTTCCATTCTCTGTGTACTAACAGCACCAGCTTTCTCCCAATGTGGCTCCCAAATCCACCCTAAGATTTTCACAAAGATCCTGGCTCAAGGCTCTGACCTGGGGTGCATGTTTCTCATCCCTCAGAAAACCCCTACACTTTTCCATATCCAAATTTCATACAGAAATCTTCTTCTTGTGGCTGTATTGAAGCTTCCTCACACCTCTTTCAGAGATAGGGCAGCTTCACTTTTTAGCCACAAACTTAGCTCAATCTCCAGTGGCCACCATTTCCTAAAAAGTGATAGAGTCTAAGGAGGGAGCCTGTGCTCTGAACATGCACGTTCCTGCCTCAACCACAACCAGAAAAATGAAGACCTTTTCTTCCTATTACACAATAATAACTATACATTTTGATCCTTATTTAAACTTTTAGATTTTCACACCACAGAAACTATTCAGTATTTACATGTGTGTCCTATTAATTTTACTTAAAAGTGTGTCCTCAATGTGCATTCACTTAGCTATAAATGACTCAAGTTTCTCCTTCTTTACAGCTGAGTAGTACTCCAATTTATTAACACACACACACACACACACACACACACACACACACACACACACACACATCTTTATCCAGTGTCCCATTGATGGGCAATTGGGCTGTTTCTAAATTTTAAATATTATAAACTAAGCCGCTATAACATGGGTGCACATATATCACTGTGTTATGATTCTTTTAATTCTTTTGGAAAGATACCCAGCAGAGAGATCGCTGGGTCAAATGGAACCTCTAATCCTAGTTCTTTGAGGTATCTCCATATTGATTTCCACAGTGGTTGCACCAGTCTGCACTCCCACCAACAATGAAGAAAGATTCCTTTCTTTCCACAACCCTGCCAGCATTTGTTATTGGTTGAATTCTGATAACAGCCATTCTTTGTGGGGTGAGGTGGAAGCTCAGTGTTGTTTTCATCTGCATGTCTCAAATGATCAGTGATGTTGAACATTTTTCATATGTTTATTTGTCATATCTACTTCTTGATCTTTTTGAGTTCTTTATATATTCTAGATAGTAGACCTTTGTCTGAGGAACAGCTGATAAAAATGTTTTCCCACATTGTAGGTTGTCTCTTAGCTCTGCTGGTGGTTTCTCTTGCCGTGCAGAAGCTTTTAAACAAAATTAGATCCCAGTTGTTGATTCTTTGTGCTGGTTCCCATGCTACTGAGGATTTGTTCATAAAGAAGTACGGGAAGTGGGAGGAGTAGGGGAAAGGGAAAAAGGGAAAAGAAAAAAATATGACAAAAGGAAAGACATGGGAATGAAATCTTTGTAAATAGGTGTGGTGGAGGTGAAGAGAGGGCAGGGGGAATGGGGAAAAATAACCAAGATACATCCCATAAAGGTACAAGATCCCAATGATTAATGTAACTATATTGTATACCTAAATCCTACCGATAAACTAAAGCATCTAAAGAAAAAAGAAAAGCTCAAATTAACATAATTAACTTTCTTGTCCCACTGATCTGTACAGGATCATAAAGGAGACATCACAGATCGCCAGGAACATGCAGGGTTGAATTCATTGATAACTGTGATGAGGGCGATACACAGTGGAGGGAATGGTGGGTGTCTCCATAAGAGGGTGTTGGAAAGAGCTTACTACAGGATTTAGGCTGGTGTTGGATGATTTGCTGGAAGAGTTCAAGAAGTACAGCTCTCCCCTGTACTATGTGTGTCAAGAATGAGAGGGAGCAGTTCTATGGTTGCAATAAATCTTATCTCCACAGAGGAATCAATAGAACTGAAAGCTATAATTGGTAACACATCAATAGCGATAGAGGGAAACTTGGCATTTTCAAGTTTAAAGAGTATTCATACTCTGGGCACATCTTGAGTCACGGTAACACGACTTGGAACAGTCTTGTTCCATCCTACCACAGAGCAGCCTGGTCTGGAGTCCATGTTCGAAAAAGTACGAGTGCTCATCAAGGAAACACCAGGGCCTGATGGTGAGTCCTATGCCTGCTCCTAACAACGCCAAGGTTGAGCTGATAGTGCCGAGTCTGCGGCTGTCATTTTTATCAGTAATAAGGAAACATAAACCGAGGAGCATAACTTGATCTGGGAGAACATGGATGGCTTCCCTGAGGAACTGACATTTAAACTAAAAGTTTAAAATTTAAAAGGTCTTCTGTTGTCACAGTCCCAGGAGTTCATTTAGCCTTTTCTTCTGTTTTCTCCCACTCAAGACACTATTAATTTTCCACAAATTAACTATGCTTAGAATGCAAGAGTCAAAGCTGACTTCTTAGGCCATTCCCAACTTTGTCTAACTGGGAGAATAACCCTTGGCACTGGAGTTGCTCTGGCTATCACCTACTGAAAATGCTCACAAGAAAATTATACCAGTTCCATTGAAAGAGGAAAGTAAATGATAGATAATCCAAGTCTAAAAATGGAACCAAAAAGGTTCAAAGATACCACGAGAATGTCAAACAAGGAATAAAATTATTTAAAATTTTGCTCGATTCTGTGATGTAGAGAAAGATATGAAAAATCAGAATAGCTACCTTTCAAAATTAGTGAGATGTGTTGATTGCTACCTTAAGAAAAGGTGAGAAAAGAAAATAGTCCCCTTTTCTCTCTTATTTCAAAGCAGGATGGTATAAATGAAAAATGAAAAATTACCCCACTGCCAAATTAATGAATTCGCTTGGAAAACATGCTTGACAAAATTCTTGAAATCTCATGGAATTCCAGATCTTCCAGAGACTGGACAAAGTTAAGGCCCGAGGAGCTGAACGTCACCCCCTGCTCTCAGGCTGAACAATACATGATTTAAATAAATCTGTCAGCCATCACAGAGCAGAAGCATCCCTCCAAAACTCGACTCTTCATTCCTGTGGCAAAGAATACAGTCTATCGAATACTAATTTTCCAAAAATTAAATGTAGCCACCCATTAGAGAGAATGGGGGGAATTATGTACTGAATAACTGAGGATGTTACGTACAACTCACAGCTTGGGAATTTGAATTCCTAGAGGTATTTATATATTTTTCCACTATGTCATTTGATTTGGGGAAATACTTGTTTCTCTTTAAAAAAAATAAAGGATTTCTGTTTACATGATATTGGTTATTAATATTCTCATTGACTTAAATAGGTTTTAAATAGTTTTAATTTATCATATGGCCAATATTTATAAACACATTCCACATAAACAAAACTACTTTGGATTCTTTGCTAATTTAATATTTCTCATTTTTCTAAATTTTGTATTAGAATATATTCACAATGCATAGTAGTTATATTTGTTATCTTGGGCAAGATGGATAGATAGATAGGTAGGTAGATAGATAGATAGATAGATAGATAGATAGATAGATAGATAGATAGAAACAGACAGATAGATTACTTATAGATAGATAGGTAGGTAGATAGATAGATAGATAGATAGATAGATAGATAGATAGATAGATAGAAACAGACAGATAGATTATCCTGCTCTGCCTCCTCTCCCCTTCCCTCTTTGCCCTTACCTCTTTCTCCACCCCCTAGATCTGAAGATAAACTACACCAATAATAATAAAACATGATAGGTGGATGGATTATTTTGTGTTTTCTGGTCATCAAGGGACAGTATCAATTAATACACAACTCAATCAGGCTTTCATTTTTGTTGTTGTTTTTTGTTTTTTGTTTTGTTTTGTTTTGAGTTATATGTTTTGATTGCTGGGGATACCAATTTTGTCAGATGTCTCCATACCACCCCCTGGCAACTATTTGGCAGGACAAGCATTAATATCTCTGGTGTTTGGAAGACCAGTTCACAAGGTTACACATTCTACACAGCATTTAGCAAAGCAAAGTCCTAGTGATGGTGAGAAATCCAAAATATGAAACAGCACAGGGAATCTCATCTCTGACCAAGAGACGATCTTGAAAGTACATTTAGTACAGATGCAGAAATAGTGCAAATTAATTCAAGATTCAAGCATTTAAGTCTGCATAGAAGATTTCTTTCATAGATAGGGAGTCAGAATATAGCTTGAAGGCAAATCAGTTTCATATACCCTTAGAAAAACATCTGTATAATCGCCGGGTACCAAATCCAGTGCGCAGCATCTAAGAACAAGCATGAAAATTCAAGGACTAATTACTCTCTAGGATGTAGAAGGACACAAAGGGCCCAGCAAATGAATTTCTTCTCCTTAAAATATGCAATAGTGGGTGTCAGGAAGCTACAACACTCTTAGATTTTCTCCTGCTAAATATTTGCCAACATATCTTATACAACCAGACATATTTTAAAAGCTTGTAAATTCTACTAATTAAAAATGACGTAAGCAAGTTGTGAAAGCAGGGCTGGTAACAGGAGGGCAGGAGAAATCAATGCTACACTGAGTCAGGACCCTCTGCAGGCATGGTGGCTCACACCTGTAATCCCAACACTCGAGAGGCTGAGGTAGGAGAATCGCTGTGAGTTCGAGACCAGCCCTGGGCTACATAGTGAGTTCCAGGTCAATCTTAATTACATAGTGAGACCCTGTCTCAACCCCCCACCAAAAAAAAGTGAATGAGGGCAATATTCCTGTAATTATCCTATTTTTTGCTTTTTTTAAAAAAAAAGAAACACAGACGTTCATTCTGGCCGCTTTATTGTGATGTGTAGCTAACAGTGTGTCCTGTACTACTAGCTCCTATCTGACGTACCAAACATACATAAACAGCGAAGCAGGCTCAAGACTCTCACCCGTTCTGGAGAACAAAGGAACGCGGCGGTAACCTGCAGAAGGAATAATTCTGGTTAATTCCGGTCTCAACAATCAAAACAAATTAACCAGTGACGGCCAGAACAGTGCTACTGAGAAAGAGATGTCTTCACTGAGCATACATTAAACACACACACACACACACGCACACGCACACACAACCGTGGGGTAACATTTTCATCTTGGCTATTAACTTTCCACAAAAATTACACCTGCACTTTCTACTCTGATCTGTAGCATTGAGCAGGCCCAGTCCTAGCACACACCCGAGGCTCCCTCACGTCCCTCGAGAACATCACACTCCCAAAATAGACACCACACTTCTGCTTCAAGAAGACCCTGTTCTCAAGGCAAACCTCAGATGGCATTAGAAAAGCAAACATATAGCGACAAGGTGATGGGGACACAGTAAAACCCTAGGAAAAGTGAGTCTGCAAGTGGACGTCAGCCCTGGAAAGGGTCAGGAAAGGATTCTCTGGCTCCTGGCCTCTTTTCTTCAGGCAGGAAAAGTGAGTCACTGGTTCTCCCTTCTGTCTGATCCCCATCTTCAATTTCATTATGGTAGCCATGACTACTCTTCCTTGAAACAGAAGAACTACGATCCATGTAAAGAAACACATATACACACCAAGTTGGTCTAATTAATATTCTAGCAAGCCCGCATCTTCACTCCATCTTCCAGAACACTTTGTTGTAAACCCACTGAAAGATAATAGATATAATACATAAAACTATCATTAGATCTTATTTCTGTGGGTAGAGGTATTTGGTATTTCAAAAATGTGCCTTTGCCCAGGCTGGTGGTGCACGCCTGTAATCCCAGCTCTTGGGAGGCTGAGAGAGGAGGATCGCTGGGAGTTCGAGACTAGCCTGGGCTACATAGTGAGTTCCAGGTCAGTCTCAACTACATAGTGAGACCCCATCTCCAAAAAAAAGTGCCTTTGATAAAGACAAGTTATATTTAATGTTAAAACACAACTTACTTTTAAGAAAATTACCTTTGCTCATGCATAGAACTGGTAAAGTATATTGCCCGAGAAATTCATTTCCTGCTATTAAACCTGAAGTTTCAACAACAAAACGCAACAAAGCCAACTCTGGTACTTGGATAATAAATGTGAATGTTTCATTCCATCTTGGACTAAAAGCTGAAATATAAAGGAATAGGTGAAAAAAAATTATAGTCCATCTCTAGGGAAAAAATAATAATTGTTCTACATTTTTTTTCAGAACTTTGGTAGCAATAACAATGATGGTTTGTGATTTAGAGCACTTAAATTTTGAATGCATTCACTGAGAGGAATAAGCTGTAATAACAATAACAATATTGGGTGTTTACTATGGCTAGGCAGTGCTCTAGAGACTTTATATAATCTTTACTTTTCATAACAACCTTACCAGGGTTGTTAGTATTCCCCATCTACAGATAAGAAAACTGAGGCATAAAGATGTTACATAACTTCCTGGGGCTTCCCATTACATAGCTATTAAGTGGCAGAGCAGGAATTCAAACCCAGAGCATAAATGTTTAATTATCAGGCAACATAATTGATATGCCTGGATATTCCCGTAACAAAGACATTAAGACACGAGGAAGTTAAGTCATATCGGTTTTCAAGACCAGGTCCTACTACATTATGGGAAAAGTTCCATAAATAGTTTTTGGACTAAAACTAAATAATGAGTGCTCTTAAATTTTTCGTTTGACTAAATGATAATCCCAAAGTCCAAAATCAATGAACAATATTGGTCTCTAGTGCAATAAATCATTCCAAGCAACCAATCCCTTGCCAAAGCAAGAAACTGAAGTTGTTTCACAATATGACTCAAATTGTCCAAAACCTAAGCATAATTAATGATGTCAAAATATTTATAGTCAGATTAAATAAACTCTCTAATAAAGACTCAAAGCTTTGGAGAGAAACACTATATATATATATATATAATTTTCAGGTGTAATGCCCATGCTACACGCTTGTTACAACAATACCTTATGTTCTTTTCAGAAGCTTCAATGAACTTGCAACTAATTTTACTAAGATCTGTGTTTTCTATGGGGCACCCTACAGTCACAAGAGCACATTACCAAATGGCAATCCAGGACGCAGTCCATGCCCATGGAAACAGTAAACTAACTGGCTCTTGCTGGAATAATAACTGCATTACCTTACCTAAGATGAGAAATAAATCCATCAGGTATCAGGACAGATGGAAAATCACTTCCTCATAGATATTACAGAACATCTACAGAAAACTCTTATACTGATTTGCCCTCCTCCCAACTGACTTCATTACAATATACCACTTCAGCCTCTCTTCCTTTCTCTGTATCTGTATCTCTGTATCTCTGTCTCTCAAACACAAACTGTATTATAGGAGAGGGTCATGACACTGAAATTCGATAGTGATTAATACATTGCAGACATGACCACAACTGAAGATTTGCCTTCACACTTTATCTAAACATGATCTTTTTCCTGTGAGACTTTTCTATTTTCAATTACATTACCACTACCTTAGTAGCTAAGCCCTCTTACCCTTTCCTTGTCCACCTACACACTTCTGCCCGGTGTTGGTAACACGCATCCCACTTCCTTTTTTTAATACCACAGCCTTCTTTACAACCTGATGCCTACATCTTTTAATCATGGAAATCACATCCCACTCTATTTTCTATTTTTCATTTCGCTCTCGTACATACTACTTTATCCGCAGAAACAAGCCTACCAAAGCACAACTCTGTTCTAATGTTATATTCCCGATTAAAAGTCTTAATTTTGTCCATTTTCTAGAAGAAAGAAAGTCCTTAAGAGATTAGCATGGATTCCACAATTTTCCATAACTATTCCCAACACAACTTCCTTTCTCATTTTGTCTTCCACTGGTCTTTCTTGAGCACCTTGTATTACAGCCCCATTGAGCTTCTTGGCTTTCACCTAATATGTTTGAATTATGTTTTAGGCCCACATTTTTCTTTCTGCCTTAAATGTTCTTGTCTGAGTTTGTGCAAAAGATTCTACACATTTTTCAAGAACCATCTCCAAATGTGCCCTATCCGCCACAGTTCTTTGTACACTCCTTGAAGCACCAGTGAACTATATCATAATAGTCACACCTGTGTCTCATCTCTCACATTGACTAGTGAAGCATCTGTAATGATATTCACTGGTTAATAAATAGAAATTTAAGTCTCGATGCTTTTTAACACATAAGACTTTCAGCATAGCAGGAGATCAGCTTTGATGAACTAAAGTGAATTTCTGCAGAGATGCTGCCATAAAACCTAAGGATATAATCAAAATTCTAGAATCGTATTATTATAAGGGATATGTTGAATAAATTAAGGTTCTTTGCATTTTGCTGTGAAAGGTCAAGTAGAGAACGAAGGGAACAAAAAATGGGTGACTCAAATTTCTAACAGAATGGTGACTATTTCCTGACACTGCCACTGGAATGTCACTTCAGCTCCAAGAGTGCCAAATTCGACAGTAATTCATCAGCAATATGCCTTTGCATTGACAACATAGAATGAAGCAGCAAAAACCTTCCAGATTGTTTTTTTCTATGCCTTTTGCACTAGAGGCCAGGCTGGAGGAAAATTTGGGGGCACGTAAGGAAAGCAGACTGGGGACATGGCTAGAAATTCTCATCCAGGAAGAAAAAGATTAATAAAACGTCCACTGGTTCCGATGCCAGTGCTATTTATCCAGGAGCTTATTTCCAGACTCTGAAATGCAGTCCACTATGGTTTGGCCACATCCATTCAAAGAGGATTCTAGACTCAAGGATCAGTTCTAAGGTCTCCTCTAAGGGGAACGTGACTAGGAAATCCCAGTAACCTAAACCTTTCTGTGTTTCCTCAGTGATTTTAACTTCACAGAAGAAACAGCAAGGCCGATATTGCATTACATGAAATGTACGTGAAAATTGTACTGAAGTCATTTCTTCCAATTTTACATTTCCTTTTTGGCAAAAAGAATTGAATTAAAAATCCAATATTGCATGAGTCAGTTTCTATGACATCCAGCCTGACTCAGAAGCCACAGACCTTTGATTTAAAATAATTCTAATAATGAGGTAAAAACGTATAATATGACATGTCGGGACAACTGTGAGTGTTTTGTTTAAGTCAAAGGCTAGAAGCTAAATAAATGTGCAGCTGTCAAAATGTCTCCATGCAAAATCAAGGAAAGCATAAAAGTAAAAACTAATCATTTGCAGGTCAGATAAAGTTTTGTATCCGTAATCTGAAAATAAGCCCAAACAATCTCATTGTTATCAGATTGTTTTTGCTGCAGGTAATTTTGTTCATCTTGAACATAGTGCAAAACCATTGCCTTATGAATAATAAATGTGTATAAGGACTCTATTAATATGTAATTTGTAAGCATTCCAACACGAAGTCTGATAGAAGTTTTAATAGCTGTAGTAGGAGCTCACCGTTTTTTTTAACGACACGAGTCTGCCGTTTGATACGATCATTTGGAACACCAAAAACTTCTATAATCACTAATGAGTCTGGTTTGTAAGAGGAGGAGCTACTAACAGGCAACTGGATCCCACTGATGAGCTGCACAAACATAGATGGTACAAGAATTCAGCAGAATATTAAACTTCAGCGCCACTTAATTTCAAAATAACACGATATACTCCAAAACTTGGGTGGACTCTTTAAGTTAATTCCTCCAAACAGGAAGCTGGAAAATAATGCCAGCTTAAACCTTTTATCCACAAACGTCAGCACATAAATGTCAAGAGCATGTCTAAACCATTTCATTTTACTGATATGTGCTTATAAAGAAATCCACAACATCCAAAATTGATGAGTCATTATCATATTTTTATTTTTAAAACATTTTTGCAGTCATTTTTGCTATAATTCGGGCTAACTCTGATAATATGAACTATATTTATATTTATGTAATGTATACTAAAATATTGAAAGTGATATGGATATAACTTCTCAATATAAAAAATGCACTGTATAGTTTTCATAACATTTTGATAGCATTTATACTTGTATAATTTATGAAAATTTGCATTATCCGTTCCTATCTACATTACTATAAAAAGCAATCTGAATTTTTTTAAAAGTCAGTTATCTCATATATATATTACATACCAGTTATTGAAAGAATGTTTAACAAAATATTTCATAATACTTTTATTGAGACTATTATGAAGCCTAATGACTGAAGCCAAAATTTGTTCTACTTTTAAGAGCAAAGTGAACATATAAAAAGTGTATTAGGCACTAATTTGGAGTAAGAAATGAAAGTTATAAGCCTAAAAATACAGTTATAAACACAGGCATAATTTTAATTTTTGAAGATTATACAAAAGGCAACAAAGGAATGATTAAATTTAATAAAAGGAAAAGAGAGAGGGAAAGAAAAAGGGAGAGACGAAGATGGAAATAGAGGAAAATAGGGAGGGAACAGAAAAGCAGAAAAAAACAGAAAAGTAAGACAAAGAATAACTGGTAACATGTAACTTTTCCTTTCTTAAATCCACACGTTAGTAGAAACCAGGGCGATGGTAAAACTTCATTTTTCACATTTTACATGTGTAGGCAGCACATAATTATTACATCCATCGAGGGCGGTTGGCACATGCACACCCCATGTCTCAATTCTTCTTACTGCCCTTTCCTCCCCCCTCCCTCTCTTCCCTCTATTTCTACACTCCATCAGCACCGATCAGTCAGCATAGTTAGATATCAGAATATTTCGACAGAACACTAGTCATACACACTTACTATACTGATCCCAAATACCAGTGTACACCAGCTACCATCAGCTCTGCAAATAACTGAGCCTTCCAATCAGGAGAAGGTTCAGCTTTGATGTATTTCTCACCCCCCCCCAGAAAAGCCCTGATTTAAAAAATTAAAAAGGCCTAATTAAAAAATGAGCACTGAAAGAAAATTTGGAGAATACTGGTCAGATAATTTGCCAACTCTAATTTACAAATGTCCTACCCAGAACCATTGTGCAGAAAGCCCCGTGGTCAATCTGAGTAGATTTTCTTTTGACCCTTACACATTACAGTCTGAATTTAGAAAGTGGTTTCATGGTTTTTATAAGCTTGAAACTAACTGACCTAGACTCACACTTGGTTTGCAAATGTCAAAGAGTAACTTAAGAAAATTCTGATTGTCCTCACCAGGGACATACGGAAGCTCACAGTGCATGTGGACCCCCTAATTTCGAGGTATCCACTCAGCAATTTTTGCAAGTTATGAAGTAATCACAAGGCTCCTTAGGATAATCCAGAGAGAAAGAACCACATGGCCACAGCAGCAGCTTCTTGGGAAAGCGTTTAGCCCACCTGTTTCCCTCCATATCACTTACAACTCCATGTGGGACCCCCAGGATAAAGTGCGTGGAGTTCGTAAGCATCTGTGTCCCTTTCCAATGAAGGAGCACCTTTTATTTCTTTACCTACTATTCTCGATCCAAAAAAAGAAATCATTCATTCCATTAATATACATGTACTGAGCGTCTATGTCATGTTCAGTACTCTTACTCAGCACTGAACAAAGCTCATTTCTTATCCTTAAAGAACTCTCAGATAAGTGGGGAGCAAGGACAAGTAACAAGTGATCACAGTGCAGTGTGATATAATTTGTGCATCCAGAGGGTGTTGTGGAAAAACAAGAGAAAACTACAAAAAGTCGCACAACCAATGCAATAGAGAGACGCAGGATGGAGAAAAAGTCCAGTTAGAAGAAAAAGCACAGAACTCATGGAGATGAGTCACAAGTTAGAGAAGGATCTTAGTTCCATATGGTTATAGAATAGGGTTAAAGCTAGAAGTGGTGAAATGCAGAGACAAGAAAGTAGGCCAGTAGACAGAAATATGTATTAAGTATGCATGACAAAATCAGCACTGCAGCAAAATATCTCTGATCAGCCTGTGAAAGAAGGATCAAGAGCAGTGACATATAGGCTACCTGAAAATTTCTCAGAGGCCAAAGGAAGACATTCGTGGGCCAGGGATTTAGCTCAGTGGTGCCGCTGCCTGCCTTGCAATGCAAGGACCCAAGTTCAATCCCCAGTACCAGAAAGAAGACATTTGTGACAGATAGCCAAGTTATGAAAGAGGACAGCAGCAATGGAGGTCAGACTGAGACAATGAATAAGAAAGACACGTGAGAAAAGGATCTGTAGAATTTAAAGATGAATTGAAAAACGGGAAGTGAGAGAGATGTATGAGACTGGAACTGCTGCCAAGTTTCTTCTCTGGGCTGATTGGATGAAGGGCGCCATTAACTGACACGTAAATAAAACGGTAGAAGTAGGTTTGACTAGGAGAGGATGTTCCGGTTTTAACACTGTAAATCTGACAGAGTGGTGATTAAATAGGGTAGGGATGCAAGCAGACTATGAAAAATGAGGTCAGATTAATGATCTGACCATTGTTGGTGGTTAAGCTCTGCGTGTTTGTAATAAAAGAATTCAGGAGGATATTTTAGTTTGAAGGAAAAATTAGGTTTAAAGCACTAGGCAACAAAAACAATTCAGGAGCAGGTAGAGAAAGAGCAATCTATCAGTGCTAGTAAGACAAACTTACTCGGGAGGTAGGAAATAAAAAGAGAGCACAGGGCAGTCCCCTCAGGACAGAAGGACATTGGTGTGGACTAGGAAGGGATCTCACAAGCGGCCGGTTCACCTCTTCTTCTCAACTCGATCTACTTTTTAAAAAAAAATACTAAACAATGTTATCTTATAACATTATAGTCTCAATGGTCAATGCTTCGCCAGATCCTAAAAAGAGTATCAAAAAATCAGTCTTTGAGCTGCCCCCACTGTGGTATCAATTTGTGCCTCACCACTAGTAAGTCTCCTATTTTAATGTCACGAAGTCATTAACAGCCAGAAGAAATGTCAGCTCTATACTTCACTGGCACTATCTGCTGCCAGGGCCAGCAGCATTTCAGTTCCATCCATCTCTGCTTCACTCTCTTGCCACATTAATTTCTGGAAAACAGCTCTCACACTTCTTGTTCCCAGCTGGACTAAAGGCTAGGGCCGGAAGCAGTCTCCTGTGCTCTCAGATGCAGAGACAGTGGAGGACCGAGCTGGGGTGGAGCGATGGAGGAAGCACTCTCTAAAGGCCCCCAGATGTCCAGCATTAGGATCAGAAAGCTCTCAGCAGCCAGCAAAACGTAACAGAGTTTCATTAAGTAATGGCATGTGACACAACAAACCAGTATCTGCATGGACCCAAATTCCAGAATGGGTTCTGAGACAGTTCATATGGCCCTAGAGCTAAATACAAAAGAGGGAACAGAAAGACCCTACCTGCCTAATTTATTTGCAACTAACAGGTACAGTTACAGCTGCTCACAATTAAGTGGGGAGAAAATGAAGCTAGACATTTTCAAAAGGCTCAGTGACATTTTAAAGAGTAAATATAGCACTGAGGTTGTAGAATAAGTAGGAGGTTTTGAAAAACGTGTGCTGATGGAAACAATAAATTTCAGACAATTGCTTTTGCTTTCAATGAAATTATATAGTTTATAATAAAACAAAAGGAGAAAAATAAAAGAGTAAAATGGTAGTATGAGGAGAGTTACTGGGGAGGATTCAGGCAGAAATAAAAAGGGAGCATTTTTAGGTAAATGACAGTGGGGAAGGGTTGAGTAATACAGGAGAAAAATTCACATCCACAATAAAATTACTAAAGAATAAAATGGAACAGAGACTAAATTATTAACATAGAGAACAAATGTTAAAAGCTCTCCCAAAATGTGGTGGAGAAAAAGGAAATGCACCAGCGGGGACCCAAATGAAACACAGAAAACATATGCTAGAAGAAAGCATAGGGTTACTTTTACTTTCTATGCAATCTAATAAAGTCTATAGATATAAGGGAGAAAAATATCCTGAACTACAAAAGCCTAGTTCTAGACATTGATGAAAGGAAAATACCTTCTAGGATCGCCTGGTAACATCCTTAAAAGTTAAAAGAGAAAAAGTAGTGTATCCACAAGGTCATTAGCAGACTGAACTTGAACCTCTCTGTCCCAGTGGTAAATGCTGAAATATGGGAGAATAATATAAATAGATCCTTGAGAGAAGAATAACCTTGATATTTGTATTCACAGGCAGGTAAGCATTCATGTAAAAATACAACGGAAAGACATTTTTCAGATAGGGAAAGACACTGCAGTACCACCCATTTATAGAACCTGGAAAGATTAACAGAAATTTTAAAGTCAGTCAGGCAAATCAGTGGAATTTAAAAGAGTAATGTACACTATGTCGCTGATATAAGGACCAAGAAAAAGTAGAAGAAGACATCATTAATCTTACCCTTATTGTAATTGCAATTGGATCGTTGTCTTTTATTGAATCATTTGGGTTAAACTGTGATTTAGTATCTCTTAGGAACTGTGGTTTCAAAATATATCCAGAACCACCATTGTCCAAAAATTTCCCATTTTGCAAATCCATAGGCAGACCAGGGGTCTGGAAATTTAAGGCCACTGTGAGAAGGAAGTATTTTGATGTTATTAGGAAAGAGGGTAACAGTTAAAGAGATACAGCTAAACAAGTTACTGAAATCTAATCACAGATCATACATTTTGTTAAAAGCATCATCAGCCTAATTTTTCTTGACTTGTAATCATTTTTCCTCCTATCATGTCTATATTAATGTATGTTGGTGAGTGGTGAAGTTTAATCTATAAATTAAATTACTATATAAATTTGAACTAAGAAATCAAAATTGCACATAGTATGTATTACAGAAGAACAGTGTAGGTGTCAGGTAACATTTGAGAAATATAAAAGCAAAGATAATGAGTCCATTAAATCCAAGAAACAGAACCCAACTATATCACAAGCTTTCGAGTCCAGGAGGTGCTGTTGTCATTTGAAGAGACAGTAAGAGACAGACAGATTGGTAATTGTAGCAGTCTCTGGATACATGCCTCCGCCATGGTCCCTGCACCCTGCTCTGCCCAACCTCAGAGGCCTTGCTACAGCTGAGGAGTAGAAGGGTTCACACTTCACATTGGCCAGTTAGTTCCAGTCCTGTACCAGCTGTGCAGTCAGAAACCAGGACAGCCTGTGAGAGTGCATAACCAAGCTGCGTGATTCCTCCCATGTTCAAGGCTAAATCTAGAAGATCATGCAAAGTATGAATGACAGAGGTCACTTGATTTGACGAACCCCTGAGTGCAACTTCAGTCAAAAGAATTTGGTCTTCAAAGTCTTTTGCTCATTTTGGTTTCCTTGTCCCTTTCCTCTACCACATATGTCCCACAACAACGCTTCAGGAATTGAACCTCCATGCCCTAAACTCCACCCAGATTTACCCTCTCCAAGCCATCTGTGAATGAATGCAACTCTTGAGACCAATGCTTCAACACCAAGTGCCTGAACCCAAAACCCCCAAGGCTAAAAACTCTTTATAAAGAGCTTATTCATTAATTCATAAAATGAATTCATTTTAACTTATTCTTGCAAACAATTCAATGTTCTATATAACATACCCATTTGACAACCTATATTCCAAAATTCTTGAGGATTAAAGTTAGAAGAGTCTGTTCTTGTTGCTTTGGGATATATTCTGGTAATGAACTTCCTTGTGTGAAAAATAAATTCATTGACTAAAAACAGGAAAGAAAGAAGGAAGAAAGGAAGGAAGGGAGGGAGGAGAGGAGGGAGGGAGAAAGAAAATTATTAAAACACTATGAAAGATTTAAAATAAACTAACCTACTACTTCTATATATAATTATATATGCTGTTAATATTGATATTTATTGTTTTTAAAATATAATTCATAAAAATTAAAATGAATCCCATGTGTTTATGTTTACAGTGTGATTTACTATTATCATCTAATAATAGTTATATTGTACAACTTAGGTACACTGATAATTTACTTTAGGGAAAAATGGATTCGAATATTTCTGTTTTTTTCACATCTAAATTAATTTTACTTTAATATAAAACACATACAATTCTTAATTAAATACTTTCTTTTAAAAACAAAAGTAGCATTTCTCCCACTTTAGTTTTTTCTGAACTTCGAATTTTATATTAGAATCAAATCACATGAAAGCCAACTGAGAGTCTATGATTCTAGCAAAATTAACTTGCTTGAACATTTCCCAGATTCACAGGGTTCAATAAGTGTCCCAAGTTAATTGATTCAGCTCCCAGCCCTTCCACTCCAGCATCTTCCCATAAATTCATTAAATTTCTTCTTACAACCCTTCAACAAAAACAAACCTACCTCTCAATACTTATTTCGATACCTTCATTATTAATATCTATATGCATATACTGCAAATACATATACAAACATATATATTCAACCTGAGGTTTTCAAATGTGCTTTTTATATTTCTACTAATCCATATTTCATTGAAATTTGAAATATATTGTTCTGTTTTATATCTAGATGTCTCCCAAGAGCCTCATGTGCTCATAGGAGGGCTTTTGGGAGGGAGAGTGGATTTGGGGGTTTTACAGCTGACTTGCTTCGGAAGGCGGACTCTGCTTGGAAGGGAAGGATCACTAAGAGTGTGACTTTCTGGGCTCCTCCCTTCACTGTAGCTGCTTCTTGTCCACAATATATTTGCTAGTGGAACTAGAACAGAATTACTTCCTCTCGCTACATAAATATTATCCTTTAGGAGGCATCATCAATTTAAAAATTACTGTCAATTGATAGTGTGCAATAGGAAGAAAAGAAGAGGGGAAAGGAAAGAAGGGGAAAGAAAAAATGTGGAAAAAGGAAAAGATGGAAACAAAGTCTTTGTAAATAGGGAAGGGTGAAGAGGGTAAAGCGAGGGCAGGGATATGGGAAAAAATAAGAACCAAGATATATCATGTAAAGGTACAAGATCCCAATGATAAATGTAAGTGTATTATTTGCTTTAAATGTACCGATAAACTTAACAGGGAAAAAATTACTGCTAATTTCATCAATATTTAGTTTTAGAAGTTACATGCCCCTTGAGGCCACTCAGGTACAAATGAACATGGGTGTGTCATGCTCCCTTATCTAGTCCTAAGAGATATTTGTCTGCTGGCAGAAGAGATGCTCTTCTGGTCATAATGTTTCTCATCTACAAAGTAATATATGAATGATTACTAAGGTTCCATAACATAATACAGCTTCGTGACTTCTGAGACTTATCTTTAGAAATTAAATTAAACACGATTTGTTATTACAAATGCAGCTCATGTTCATTATAGGAATATGAGGAAATCAAATGAAAAATAAAACTATGTACAAGCTTATCACTCAATTAAGAACAACTGAAAACTGCCTGGTTTGTATCTTTTCCTTCTTTTCTATCTATATGATAATTTTTAAAATTAAGTCATATTGTTTATTCTCTTTTACAAATTGCCAATTTTTACTTACTAAAATAATGTGGGAATTATTCTAGTTCAATAGCATTCATCTACCACATTTGTTTTAATGATGTTTTTATGGTTGTAATAATACTAGGTATCTTTGCAGTTCAACCATTGCCAACATTATTAATTATTTATTAATGACCTTTGGTGCATTAAAATACTCTATACTCTGCAAAAGAAAAATGGCAATGTTGTATTTTATGGCTCTATTCAGTAGTAACCAGTCCCCTTCCAAAAAAATTTTGCAAATATTTAATCTGATGAACATAATCTTATGTTCAGAAATCTCCTCAAGAACAACAAAAGCTATCCCATAGTTTGAGAGGACAGAGGTCAGCTAGTAAAGCAGGTCATTCAAACTCTATTTCCATACCATAGCATGCAAAATACAGTTTACATCACAACCAAACAAACCTACCTGTATGCACACTTGTTTTATAAAACAGTGTAATAAATAGTCCTATTCTATTCTACTCTATTCTGCATTCCTTCATTTTGTTGTTTCATCCCATTCCATTTTACTCTACAGTATTCTACCCTATTCTATTATTTAACTATAATCTGGATTTGTTGAATTGGTTTTTTAATCCCAATCCACAGTTGTCATTTGCTTTGGTTTTCATTATTTTTAAAAGGCCCTCAAAATATCCAGTATTATTCTAATAGACAACTTGAGAATACAAGCTAGAGGATATTTCAAAGCCCTTGGACACCAGTGCACAGCCCAGTGAGGTTCACAGGTGAACACATCAGTATGCATGTCCAAACAGCATTTCTCAAGTCGGTGGCAGGTGCTGATTTTCCTGCTCTAGTACTTCTACACAAAATGGTAAATGATTATAATTTTCTGAGAATAATTCCTGGCTCTTTAATTAGAGTCTGGGATATTCCCTATCATGTGAGTCTGATGCCATCTGCTTTCTTTTCTTTCCCTAGACAATGTGTCACCTTTGGTGTTACCAAACAGAAGAATAGCATCATCCTGAGAATTAAACAGAAAAAAAAAAAAGTGACACAGACAAGTGTGACCTCTAGAGGTGGCAGTACATGTACTCTAGGGCTCCAGTTTGCATGTCATTTCCTCTCCCTCCTTCTCACAGGCATAGAACCTGCACATCTAATTTTACTTCTTCCATGCCCATTGAATCCAAAAGTTCTTCCTGTCTCAGTTCCCACTGCCATAAGCCTCTTGGTTTCCTCCCTGCCTGAAGTCTCTCGGGCTGCTTCTGTGACTGCAATCTTCCCCAGCCCCCAAGTTTCCCTCTAAGATAAAGCCCAATGCCTTGCAAATCAGTTCCTCTGCCTGTAAGGCACCGCAAATACTCTACCACTCCAAATGCCCCCTATCCCCATGGACTAAGTACACCGGACAAGCTGAACCACAATTACCATGACCTAAAGAAGACAACCACTGGCTCCACTATGTGAAATGTAACTCAACTAGAGGCACATAACTCCTTTCTAAATTATGTTAAATAGTTGAAATTTTATGAGAATATAAACTTAATAAATATTACTAGCCCACCTTACCACCTCACAGTGACTATAACTGATTTAAATACTTCATCTCTTTGAATTGTAATATTTTACCTCTCAACTTGGAAAGTTTTCGGGCTTGTGTCTCCCCAATAGAATTATTTTCATTAAATTGCTGATTTTGTCTTGAATATTGAAAACTTCTGAACTTTTCAGCTTTAGTATAAATGACAAGATCAGATAAAGCCAGAGCTATTTTTAGCTTCCTTATCTAAAAACAAAATGCAATAATTTCACATTTTTACACTAAATCCAATTTTTCAAAAACAAAAAATTGTTGAATAGACAATCGTACTTTTTTCACAAGTTTATCTCTTCCAAAGCTATTTGGACAAGTCAATGTGATTTTTTGTGACTATAATATTTAATGATAATTTACACAGGCTGTTATGGCTTGTGTTTAGATGTCCCCCCAAAGCCTCATGCACATGAGGTGGGCTTTCTTTTTCAGAGGTGACTGGACCTGGAATGTGCAATGCTATGCCTCTTTATCATCCCTGCCTTGAAGCCAGCTGAAACTTCTACAAATTGTGAGCTAAATATACCTTTCCCCCTTGGACTCTGGGTGTCGAGTATTTGTCTCAGGGATGAGAGAAAAGTAACTAAACACAGAAATCTGGTACCAGGAGTGGGGTTGTTGCTGTGACATTACCTGGCCATATGGCTCAAGAGCCTTTGGAACAGGCTCATGGGAAGGGGAAGAGTTAGGAAAGGTTTGAAGATGTTGGCTGAGAATGTAGAGCTAGAACACCTTAAACTGCTCTGTATGTGAGATTCTGGTCAGAGTTCAGAAGACCAGAAAGCCAGTGAAGACCAGGCTCAGGAGGTCTCTACTGGGAAGAAGGACTGCATTGACTTGGCAGAAAGTTTGTCTTCATTTTGCTCATGTCCAGAGACTTTGGCTGAGACTGAGATTAAGGGCAGTGGACTAATTAATCTTGGGGGATAAATTTCAAGGCATTCTAATGTTAAGGCTGTGGCATGGCTGCTATTGTGGCTTTTAGCCAGATTTATGTTGAAACTTAAGAGCAAGTGCCCAGCAGAATGATTTAAAACATTTTGAGTTTGGCCAGAAAAGCAGAGCGAGTAGAGATCTTGATTGCTGAGAAGAAACAGGATAATAGAAAAGATGGCCTGAGGGCATTACAAGAAGTAGCAGGACTTCACACTTTTCAGTCTCAAAAGTGAAGGGATTTACTTTGAGGAGAAAGCTTCAGAGCACTAGATTTCAAAATGGTGGCAGCTACACCATATTTCATAATGGTAGAATACTACAGAAGTTGTTCAAAAATGGTAGCAGCCTAGGAAAATTGTTCCAAAATGTCAGTTTAGGGAAATTGTCCCTTGGGATTTGGCTTGTAGGCAATAGACCCCTTGGGCCGAGAGAGGGAAGACTGTTACTACTGCTCCAGCTGGCAGCAAATCTTGGCATCACCCATGAGGTACTGGTTTTAGCTTCAGGAAGAATGGAAGAGCTGTGGGGTCAGGAAGGTTTCCAGCCAGATTCAGAAGAAGGCCTTTGAGGCCAAGGACTGCAGAGGGCAACGTGTGAAGCCAAAGGTGCAGTGGAGACTCCAGAAGTTTGGAGAAGCCAATAGCATGGATTATCTGAGGAAAGCTGCAAGGATCAGCCCAAGAGAGAAGCTGTGGAAGCTACAAGCACTAGTAGTGCCACAGGGGCAAAGCCACCCAAGCCTTTTGGAAGTTACGACTTGCCACAGACTGCATGAGATGCTGGGAGTGGTACTATGGGATTTAATGTTTGCCCTGCTGGATTTTGGACTTACCTTAGTCTCACCCTTTTGTATCCCCCCCTATTTGTACCTATTGGAATGGTAATGTTTATCTTGGGCCATTGAATGTTCAAAGTACTTAACTTTCTTTTCATTTGTTCAAGGGCTTTCAGCTAAGAGTTTGCCTTAAATCTCAAAGGAGACTTGGAACTTGGACTTTTCAGCACTGCTGAAACTCTTAGGTCTCTGGCAACTATTAGAGATGGACTAAAATGCTTTTTTGCATAAAGGAATGTAAATGAGTCCTTAGGGGGCCAGGGGCAGAATATTATGCCTTGTGTTTAGATGTCCCTCCAAAGCCTCATGCAGATGAGGTTGGGCTTTCTTTTCCAAAGGAGGCTAAATCTAGAATGTGTCATGCTGGGGATTAAGGACATGTGATTACCTAACAACTACATGTGAGTGATTTGTCACTGCCCTAATCCAGGTGGTCTGAATGGGATAAAAGGGGAACAAAGATGTTATTAAGGTCCTTTGTTGCCTTTGCTACATTGTGTGTGCCATGTTGTTTCTCCTCTGTGATGCCTGTTTGCCATCCCTGCCTTGGAGCCAGATGGTTATAGACTGAAACCTCTATAAACTGTGTACTAAATAAACCTTTCCCCCTTTAGACTTTGGGTTTTAGGTATCTGTCTCAGCAGTGAGAAAAAAGTAGCTATTAATCTCAATTAATTAATCTGTATTAAGACTAACAATTATTGTTATATTCTTCTCCCCAAAGATCTCAGCTTATTCTCATGAACTTCACAATTTAGGAACTTCAGTCAAATATATTTACAGTTTGATCCAACAGTTTAGTACATGTGTTACCAAAGCAATCAGGTGGAATAACTCCTATTGTATAGTACATATTTGCTCATGTATACTCAGCATCTGTTTCCTCTGTACTTTTGTTAGATGCTTCCTAAGTTTTGTTTTGAGGAAATGTCCCTTGCTTGTGCTAGATCCACTCATTCACGTAATGATCATAGAGACTGGGCCCTGCAAATCAGAATTGCTCATTCCTCATCATCAGTAACTGGTTCAAAGCTGTCTAGATAAACAAATCATAGTCAATGTAAAAAAAAAATCATTTTCTACTCTGCTGAGAATTAGGCATTCCACTGCACTTGAATTTGAAAAGATATAAAGTAGAATTTCTGCAATAGACTTGGGCCAATACAGAGAAAGTGGGACCAAAGGTGGAGAAAAAATGAAATTCTGTTGACCTTGAGATGCTATATACGAAATCATTTTTCAAATTAAATTCCTTTTCATAATTTTTTCAACCACATAGATAAAATAATTAATTCTCATCTTACTTAAACCATTCGAGCTAGTGACCTCCTTAGAACAAAGTAATAGACACACTTATAAAGCTATATATTTTAAACATTGATCTCTTATCTGTGTCCACTTGAGGACAGAGAAATTATATTGTTTATCTGCAGCACACTTAGTGCATAAGGAACTATGACAACACCTGGTACAGGGGAAGAAGGACTTTCCATTCCACTGTTAATTTTTTCAAAGTAAACTTCAAATGACAGACTTAAGATTTTAGGAGGAAAAGAATCTTCTCTCTAGATTATTTTCAATTCTCCACCAACAAGAAAATTTGAAAATTTTCAATCACTTGTAAGATTTTCACAAAGCTTCATCTCACCTTTTTTTTATTGGAAAAAAGTGTTATCCCAAGTGCCTTCTTTGTCTCTGTTTCCCTTCCTTGGCTGTCTCTTGGTAATGAACTATCATCTGTTTCTTCAGTTTTCGACTCCTCCTCATCCTCCGTTTCTGCCTCTTCTTCCCACATCCCAACCTTACCATGCTTATCAGAGCCTATCCTCTCGTGGGTTTCCTTTAAGGTTCCTATTTTCTTATTTTTCACTAAGACTTTGAATTTTAACGCCTGTAGAAACAATATGAAGGACAGGTATAGTTATACACTTAGGTACTTTGCATTGAAATCGCTGTTAAAAAGCACTTCGCCATGTTTTTCATCCACCTGCATTAGTAAGATACAGAAGGCCTCCCTTTTACTATACCTCCTTTTACACAATAATATTACAGCACCGACTATAATGCCATCTCTTACATTTCAGAAATTTCTATTTTAAAAAACTGAATAGCACATGGTGGTTAAGTTTGGTTGTGTCAACATGACTAGCCTGGGAGCTGTCTGGGGGATTAGTAAAGCACACTCCTGCAATGTGTCCAGGTGGGTCATGGAGGTGTGACCTTGGGTACTATATCTGGTGCCTCTGTTCTTCTCTGATGCTTTTCCCTGTTCTGCTTCTCAGCCTGAGCAGTTTTGCTCTGCCGCATCCTTCTTCCATGATGTCTGTGTCTTGGAGCTAGCTGGCCATGGTCTCTATATCCCAAAACCATGAGCCAAACCAAACTGTCCTCCTTTAAATTGTGGGTATTGGGTATTGTGTCTCTGGGGCAAGCTGGTGATTAATATTATATTAAAATGCTTGCTACATTATTAAAGTTAGAAAGTTACAACTTCTGGTAGTAAATATTTTAGGTCATTGCTCTCTTAGCCAATATGGAAACTATTCAATGAGATCAGGCCATTGAGATCAATAAAAATGTCTATCAGTGTCTGTATGTATGGCGTATAGCATAAGTCGTAAGTAATATAAAGATAACTGTCCAAATACTACAAATATATTGCTGTACCATCATAGCTGAAGATATGCCAAAACTAAAGTACTGATTGTTAGATAATGCTACTAGAAAAAAAGAAAACATGTTTTTTTATCACCTGACAAAATCTGGGGTAATGGGCCAGCAAAGGAAACTTAGGACTAGCCAGAAGAATGAGGAAAGTCTAAAGAACTGGGCATGATGGAAGAAAGTGTTCCAAGCAAAGCAAAGAGGGGTACATAGGACAGAATGCTGCCGAGAGAACAAGTCAGGTGATTGAGACATTCAAAAGATCAGATTTGAAACAGGTAAACCTGCTCCCCAGGTGTCAAAATATTGGGTATAGATTCTGTTTATAGCTTGAACTTTCTGCCTCTTTCTTAACCTTTTGCCTATAAAACATATCAATATCCTGGTGCCTAATATTAATAACCTTGAAATTATGGACCCATGATATATGACAATCAAAATGTAGGATTTACAAATATCTTATATATTTCCTTTGTATATTCTCTTTATCCATCTATATACCCAGGAGAACATTTTTCCTAGGCAACGCATGAAAAGATTCACCTCACTAAATAATCAAAGCTAAACATTTTTGTGGTCTTTAACTTCATCTCATGGTCCAATATAATAGTGATATTTTGTTTTGTTTCACTTGTCCTTAACCTGAGCTCCTCAAACAAAGCATTACCTCTGGTGAAGGTAGGCTGTCTGGAAAATCATCAAGTATATCAGAAAGCAGGGAATCTCCAAAAGTAGTCTGCAAAATGGCAGCCATCACTTCCTGTTGGGCAGTGGAGCAGTGATTTTCTAAAGAGAGAACCACGGGGTACTCAGATGTCTGAAAAATTAACCATTGCTATGGTTATTATCAAAACTTTTAAATAATCTAATGCAATTAATATAATTTTAAACTCACTTCTAATGTTCAATACCTTTACAAAATTATTACGGATTCTGAAAGTACTTTGGTACTTGATGATAATAGGGAAATTATTACTATTTGCATCAAAAATACAGAAAAAACCTGAAGCATCCAATCAGTGGGTATTTGTTTAAATAACATCATCTTCATATAAACAAATTATGTAGTCCCATTAAGAAGGTAGAACTACATATACTGCTGTAGAAAATAATCTATAATATAATAGTTTTTTATCTTATGCAGAAAAACAAGTTCCCTGCTATAGTTTGGATGTTAAATGTCCCCCAGCACCCTTTGTGTGAAGGGATCAGTCCCCAGTTTGGTGGTATTGCTAAATCGTGGAAATACTCAGAGGGGTAGCCCATTTGAGGTCTTCTGGTCATAGGAGGCCACCCCTTACAAAGCATATGAGACCCTACATCTTCCTTGCTTCTCTCTTTGCTGTCCTGACCCTGAGATCAATGATCTTCCTCTGCCATGATGTACTCCCTCAGCATAGGCTCAAACCCTGTGGGGCCAACCTACCATGAACTGAAATGTTCAAAATCACAAAGCAATTCCTTCTTCGTTTTAAGTTGATTATGTCATGTGTTTGCAAAAGTAACAGAACATTGACTTAAGACATTGCAAAAGAATATTGTATATTTTCTTTTTAACACATATACACATCTGCGTGGATACATACACATACATATATATGAGTATATACAGATATTTAAATATTTTAAGGAAAACATTAACAGTCAAGGGAAACACTGATTTTCTTTTTCATTTTTCAGTCCCATAATCAAAACACATTGCTTAAGATATTAGAACAAAGGTAAAGTTAAACCTGAAGGAGTCAAATCAGAAGATGTTTTGAAAGTAGAGCCAAGATGATTTGCTGATGAACTGATGAGAGAAGAGGAGCACAGTTAAAGCTGATAACAATGACTTTACTTTGAGCACATGAAAGGCCAGTAGCTGAAATAGGAAAGGCCATAGGAAGAACAGGATTGATAGAAAGAGAAACATCAGAGTTTAATATCAAGTACATGTGTTCCGTCAAATATGCTGATTCATAGCCAAGTGGAAATGTCACAGATGTGGATTCACATATGGACTTTGATTCAAGGCACAGTTTGAAGGAGAGATAGGATTTAGAAATCATCAGAAATTAGAGAATCGATGTCCTATCACAGTGTTTCCATATTAACATAGAAATTGCTTGTTTGATGTTTCTACCTTGAGAATATTTATTTTATATTCTGTGTTAGTAAATAGTAGAGCAACAGATATTAATGTGTGATTTTTAAATTTGTACTTGTAGATTTTGTAATCATTAACAGAGTTAGAACTTTGAGTTTGCTAGACTTTTAAGTTTATTAAATTCACATGCAATATTAATGGAGACTTTCTTAAATCACTTCAGTTGCATTACAGTTGAAGTTAGGGGGAAAAAAATCAAGCATATTAAGTTTGCAAAAACAATTCGAAGTGCCTGAATATGTATAATTAGCAAACTTTATGAATGGGACTAAACACTATTCAAAACTCCTTAAAATTGAGGGTTTGCTAATATCCATATAATCTATGGACTAGGATTTATAGAATAAACTTAGTTACATAAAGAACTTGATCTTTAAATTGATAACTTTAATCAATTGAATAACAAATTACAAATCCAAAGTAAACTTTTGAATATTCTTTGTTACTACAATTATAGTCATAAATATTGTGCACAATTTAGATAATGAATTGTTGATACATTTGATTTTGGTTTTGAAAATACAAGAATTGATTACTGGAAAAATGTTTACTATTATTCTTATCAATAGTTTAAACATTTTGTCTCTAACCTATAGCAAAAATCATATATTACATTGCATCACAATACTCACATGCAAGTATTCACCTACAGACACACACATTCATGCACACAGAGGATTTAGCAAAAAGTTTCAGGCACCTTACTGCCTGAGTATGACTTGAATAAATGTATCTGTAACTATACATTACATGGACTTTACTATCTACTAGTGTGTCATAATCCACAGTTTTAAATATCATTGGTCTAAATCGGGCATGGTGACACACACTTGTGATCGCAGCACTTGGGAGGCTGAGGCAAAAGGATTGCGGTGAGTTTGAGGCCAGCCTAGGCTCCACAGTGAGTTCAAAGACAGGCTGGACCACACAGAGAGATCTTATCTCAAAATAAAATAAAATATCACTAGTCTACACCAAGGCCAAGTATTACAGTATTTTGAAGAAACCAAATTATAATTGATTCTTTTCAAAATAAATACAAGTTTTAAAAGTCACATACCATGAATGCATATTTGTGTATCGCTTGGATAACAGTTTTAAATAGAAGCTTGCTGGTGAGTGTATAACCATGGTATACAACAGGTTCAGCTTGTGACCCATCCCAGCAGTCAATTTCTAGACATCGGCATCCTTTCACAAGGGCACTAGCAAAATTTAAGAAGAATAGAATGTCATTCTGAGACAGATAACAATATATACCATAGTGTCAAAATATTCAAAAGACTGTGATTTTGCAACAAAAGCATAAATTAATTCCTCAAGGTAAGATGTGAGTCTTTAGCTTAAATTTACAACCTTAAAAAGGAAGGGCAAACTACATGTGAAGTACAGCCTAACACTCGCTTCTTTCTAGTCAAATATTCCATTCCTAATTGCTATTCAAAAATGAGTTCATAGGAAGAAGGAAGCTGCCTGCCTCCATAGTTGTAGCGAGAAAACATCCTTGCCCTCAAACCAAATGAATTTGGCTAGAGTGCTATCTACTGTTCAGCGCTGTGTCATTGGGATGAGATCGCATCCAAAGGCATTGCAGTATAATAAAATATTCTATTTAAAATTTTATCTGACCCTTTCCTCACCTCAAGATCTAAGAAATAGAATATATGGTGAGATGGTGAGAAGGGAGGAGGAGGAAGAAGGAAGGGGAGGAGGAACACAGAGGGAGGAGTGAGGGAGGGAGGGAGTGGGGGATGTTGCTCTGTTGCTCCCTAGAGAAAAATAAAATGTTGGACAGAAAGGGCAGAAGACAAAGGCCTTAGGAACTTAGTCAACATTTTTTGTCTTCTCAACTTTTGTGTCACTCTATCTCTTAATTCTCATCCAAGTAAGAAGTAGGGGAAATTAAAATTTATGCAAAGGAAACATGAATATTTTAATCTACGTCTATTTGACTCATAATTTTACTGGGAGAGAATTAGGAGCTATGTCAGATTACACCAAATTCACAGATTTATTTGAACTAAGGAAAATGTATTTCCACTTCAGCTAGTATCTTAAAACTGAGTTTGATTTTACATTGTCAAGTAAGTCTATCTCTTGACCTAGACATAGGTTCCATCTTAGACTTATAGGCATTTGTGCCCACTGATTTAAAATGAATTTTCGGTGTTTTTAACTAAAAGAGGGGAGTGACAGAATGCTTTATTAACAGGTACCTTTATTTATCTTGTCAGTTGGAGCTGATTGGACACAGATTTTTTAATGACTCAGTATTAATGAATGTACACAAATAGAGATGTCTCAAAATCTTCAGAGGCAACACAGAGAAGCTCACTGCATGCCAATATAAAATAGATTATTTTTTGTCCGAGTTCCCTAAAATGTATTGATATATTCAAACAAAATGTTTTGTTAACTCCTGAAAATGTATGTATAGCAATAAGATTTTTTTAAATTTCACAGACGCACACATACAGCTGCACTGAACTGAACACACCTTTCTTAATTTCTGTGACCATGGCCTGACTCAGAGCTAATACATGACAACCATAGTGCTCACACCACCAACAAGCAAGCTGATGAGTACCAAGGATCAGAATCCTGCAATTTCTGCCTATTTCTTATGTTCTAAGTTCCATGAGAGCAGGAAATTCCAGTTTCACGAAAACTGCCTGACACAGAGTTGACTATTGGTAAATATTTATTGTGTTTATATTAGAAAACAATGGGAACTGTACAGTGTACAAAGAAAAGTAGAAGGCAGATAAAACTGATCTTTTTGAAGTGCAATCTTGAATCAAATGAAGGCTGACTTGAGAGGACAGGATCATGGGACTGGTATCCATCTGCTAGGAAAGACCTCTTTAGAAGATGTCTTGCTGTACACAAAACTATTTTCCCATTTAAAAAAAACCAAGTAAACACTTATTAACTATTCCACTGCCTCTAGAACACTCACTCGCAATTGGGCTGGTTTTGTCTCCTAGGAGATGTTCGGTAATGTCTAGACATATCTTTTGTTGCTGGGGGCGGTGAGATTTGATGCCAGCATGTACCAGGTAAAGGCTAGTGATGTCGGTAAATATCCTACAATGTATAAGGAAGATCTTCACAATGACAACAAAATCAACTGACATAAAATATGAAGGGTTTGGGAAAACACCGCAAGTCATTATACTCTAGGGTATCCCATGCTTAAATAAATCCATAGTTTCTCCAAACAGAAGCAGGAAGTAGCAAAAGACCATACAAGAAAATGTACCTATTAGACCTAGCACTTCTTGGGCAACATATTTAGTCCCTTGATAGGGAGATGACAAGGCACACTTAGAAATGTGGCTAAGGAAAAATAAAGTAATTACAGCACCAAGTCAATGAGGTGGATTCAGAAGGAGAGCCTCCATATCCCTGGGGAATAACAGAGGTGAATCACGAAGGAATGTGAGGGGCAGAGCACTCGAAGGAAAAGGCAACTGGTGAATCTTACCTGTCTTGGAGGCTGAATCATGACTAAATATAAAATTAAATTATTAATAAATCATTTTGAGGTTACAAAGTTCCCTGTTTTTTTTAGTGGACCTTGCTTTATTCAGGCATGGGCTGATGACATATTACATTTCAGAGGTTTGCTCTCCACTTGACATTGTGTTGAAGGAATGTATCCAGATTACACTTCCAAGCAATTCATCTAATTCATTAATATTTCTATGGACAAATAAGGCGGACACCTAGTTTGGGGTATGAGTCCTGATTTGGACTATTATTGTAGAATTCTAAATAAACGTATTTCTTGGCTTGTGGTTGTTTATGTACTATTTAGATTTAAAACTGGAAAAGAAGCCATACTTATTTGTAAAGTTTCTTAATTTCCAAGAAAGGATCCTTACTTTGCCCAGCTCTTAGTTGACTAGAAAAGTAAATTGTCTTGTCTTTTTCGTCAATACTGAGTATCAGGGCTCGGGGCTTCTGCCAAAGTACGATCTTGAACTCTCTACTATGGCCGGGAGGGCAGCTATCAAAAAGTTTTAGAAGAAAACTTTTCGTAAGTAATACTGATTGTCACTGCTTGTCTGCATTGCTTTGGTTTGTTCCACAGGTCAAGCCACTCCCTGCAAAACTGCATATTCAGACTACATGGTTTGGCTCCTGGCAAAAATATTTAAGAGCACTGCACCATGTCATGCCAACCACTTGTATGCAGACACGTGTGAAAGATAGTTGCTTCTTCTCTAAGGGCAGCATTGAGTCCACTCACTCTTATTTTACTATGAGTCCCCTTTGGAAAACGAATAGAGCTAATTCATATTCAGCAAAGATACACCCTACCTCTTCCAAGCAACCATTTTTATTTAGTACGATTATTGTATATCTTATTAACAATCCCATTTCTCTCTTGGTTTCGCCTGCTGCGGGCGAGCTTCTGCATGCACCCTAGAATTTGTATCAGACTTTGTGGTATGAAATTCCTACTGTTGTCTTTATTTCATCTGTTTATCAATAAAATTTCCCTTAAATACTTTCTATAAACTGGTAGAACATAAACTATAATTTTATGTTCTTACACTTACACTTTAAGTCTCTTTGTACTATGTGAGTAATTTTTTTTTCTATTTGCTTTTGAACTTTAATTTTTTTTTTTTTTTTTTTGTACTAGGGATCAAACTCAGGTCCTCGCACTTGCAAGGCAGGCAGCAGAACCACTGAGCTAAATCCCTCGCCCCTGCTTTTGAACTATAACTGGCAATAAAAATTGTGGAGAAGCTGTTGATGGATTTAAATGTTGCCTGCCAAATGAAACATGGTATTAGTCTTTCTCTTTTAAAACTGAAGAAGTAAAAGATATGAAGAGACTGTCTGTCACTGAATTAACAAATGAGGGAGAGGGAGGAAATGTGAGCATCAGAAACTTAAACATTGATGCTTAAACATCACATTACACCACTTCTCAGTAGCATGGAAATTTTGAAAGGCTTTCCTCCTCAGGTGCCTCTTCCAAAGGTAGGTAAAGAAACAGGAGAAGAAATACAATTAATTTAAATTTAGATTTGCAGTTGAATGGGACATTTTCTCAGAATTAAGATATAATTTTCCATATTTCTAGATAGAATTGTTTTAAAATGTGTATTTTCCTTTTAAAAATCTGAATAAAATGTCTACAATGAAATTATACCTACAGATTGGAAATATCACAGAATCCTAAAAGGGCATATTTTTGAATTTGAAGGTTTATGTATTCACTTAGATTTTAAACTGGAGAAGCAGTAATTTTTATTTGTAAGTCTGATAGTCTCATGGAATTATGTCTTTCCTCTCTATTGTTTTTCTCCTTGAACAATGAGTCAAACACATGACTTTAAATATCATCTGCATTGTGATGACTTCCAATTGTATTTTTCCAATGTGGATATTCCTCCTGAATCCCAGAGACATATACCACACTGATTGTTTGACCCAGATCTCTGATGACTAATTGTATCTCAAACCAAGCTCTGTGTTGACAGAACCCTCGTTTTTCTCAGTGTGCTTCCCTCTACAATGAGCTGCTCTCTCAAACTTCACAGTTTCAGTCAGCAACATACTTACGTACTTGGCTACTGGGCTAAAACTCATGATTTTTCTCTTCCCCTCATACCCTTCTTCAAATTCCCTGGTAACCCTTGTTGGCTCCGCCTCGTCAAAATATCTCAAATTCAGCCACTTTATCATCGCAGCTGCTACCTCCTGAGTTCACCATCAACATACCCATCATCACCTGGACTGCGACACTATCTGCCTAAGTCATCTTTCACCTCCCCACTCTTGCCTTTCAAAGACAAACTGTGACACTCTACTGAGGAAAATCCCTCGGGGGGTCTTTCCAACGTTTTATCACTGTCATCTATCAGACCCTCCTTAACTGACTTTGTCCACCCCCTCAAACTCATCTGCCTTCATTCATCATATGCTTGTTTCCACCCTTATTTCTTGACGTTCTCTTGTTTGAACATGCCGAGCACTTATCATTGCATCTGTCCAATGTGGCTTTCCCACCAGAACTTTCCATGACTCCTTCTTTATCCTACTCAGGGTGAGAAGGCTTTCTTGACAACACCCTTTAAAATCTGTACCCAGATGAATGACTTTGTTAATCTTGCTTGCTACCATATCTGCTTCCTGACTACCTGAAGCCTAGGATTAATCCTAGAACACAAACTGAGGATGCAGCAGGAATTACTTTTAGCCTATGTAAATCACTGGACCTATAAATCTACAAAAATCATTATCACTGAATGCCAGATTACACAACTTACTGTATTTATCTTTGCTTTTTTGTAGCTTTGTGTCCTTTTGCTATGTTAAAAACTAGCCTGTACAACATTAGTTAAGTATAAGAGAAATAATGTTTTCTTATAGGAAGTACGCAAATTGTTCAGAAACCTTCAGAGATGCTATAATAATGGAGATCAGCAGATGGGATTTGAATGAAAATATATGATGCTTATTTATACAGTAGGTTATGTTGTCATTTCATCCAAAAGTTGGATCATCAAGATAGGTAGAAATTAAAATTCCTGTACCCCATGCATAGCCTGATTTTTACTCTGCATCATTGAGATAAGACACTACCAGAAGCTTCTTATAGAATTTATCCTTTCTATTGACCATGTTTATGTAACAGACTTAAAAATAAAAATAAGTACCTTACATATCCCCAAAGGTCACTTCGTCCCACTAATTGATCAGATACCAAATACGTGTTATGTGAAGATGAAATAAAGTAATCATTTAATGGATAAGTCATGTCTTGATAAACTCTTGTACACTCCTGTTTGAACAGTAGACATTCAGATGAATATATGTATCTCGTAAAGCCTTCAAGTGACAACTGATGTGCTTTCTTGACTAGAAAAAATAAAATTAAAAGGATGCAGAAATACCATTAGTAATTTAAAAGTATATAGTCTCACCTGCAGACCTAGTAGCAAAGCAAATTTCTAAAACAATCATTTAGAATTAATATTATTTATAATTTGTCTTTGGAAACAAATTCTTCTATTGAATACCTTTAGTTCTTCCACATCCACATTCAAGAAAATATCATTTTATTATCCGATTTTTTTTTTCATTTTAAAAATACAAACAAAAGGGGGGTGGCTGGGGATTTAGCTCAGCGGTTTGGTGGCCTGCCTTGCAAGCGCAAGGACCCAAGTTCAATCCTCAGTACCCCCCCAAAAAAAGATAAAAAAAAAAACCAATAAAAATACAAGCATCCTAAATCAATGAAATTCCCCAAGCCATTCGTCTGGTTAACAGGCACCAGGGTAAGAACATTAAAGCCCCTCCCCTCTGAAGCTGCTCCTACTAACTTGAAAGCCTCTGTCCTGCCCACAAGTATGCACTGGTCCAGCTTGTAGAAGGGTAGGTTAGTTTTCTCCAGCTTTTGTACTTTACATGGATACTCATGCAGTATGTATTTTTAAGGCCTGATTTCCATTCCTGCGCACTATGTTTTTAAGATTTATTCCTGTGGTTGTATATAGTTATGCATGGTTTATTTCCATTGCTATATAGTATTCCATTGTTATATAGTATTATTAAAGCATGCTATAATTTATCCATTCTCTTGAGCATTTAGATATTTTCCTCTGTGGGACTAATACAAATGGTGCCAGTATAAACAACCAGTATGTATATTTTGGTGCAAATATGTATATATTTCTGTTCCATGCATGTCTATGAGTGGAACTGCTGGAATTTGCATATGTTCATCTTTGGTAAATGATCTCTGAGTGTTTTTATTCAATATAATACATACTAAGCTTATTGATTTAAGCAAAACATTGGCTTTGAAACCAACAGTCTTGTTTCAAATCCATTTACCTGTTAGACAACCTTAAAATTGTAGCTGTCCTCTCCAGGTCTATTAAATGGAAATAACCTGAGGACCTACCCTTATATATCAGGCTCCATAAATGTGTGTTGCTGTTGTTACTACTGACAGTTAAATTCCACTCAAAAGAAAAGCTGAATGCACACTCGTTTTAGAGTACAGTGTGATCCTTGGATGAGAGTTTTATTTCTAGGAGTGTATCCTGCATAAACAGAAACTCAGAAAAAGACTGATGTCCAAGAATGCTCACATTAGCATTGTTTAGAAAAACAAAACAGAAGAGGCAAATTAAAGCTCAAAGTATGGCATAGTACTACATAGCCATTAAAAATAATGCATCATAAAAGTATAGCGTCCTAAGTAAATGTTTAAGACATCATAAAAGATAAAGAGCCAGCATTCAGATGCTATTACTATTCTGATTAAAAAAATAAAAGCTAGAAAAATGAATTAAAATGTTTATAGATATATATATCTTCTATTTTGAAATCATGTAAATTTAGGAATATGGGAGCGCGTGGAAAAAACACACCATGTATAGTGACAGTGATGATTTTTGCATTGATTTATTCTCTTTTCCTGTGCAAGTAGTAGTCATTGGTTTATGGATATATCTTTTATAATAGGATAGAAAACAAAATAATTCTGTGACCTCCAAAAACACGAGATTGAAATGAGGATGAATCTCATGGATTTTTATTTAAATGTCACTTGTACATGTTACAAACTGATGTCAGATGAGATTGAGGAACCTGGTAGCATTTGGGACTGTAAAGTTGTAATTCAAATTGGCTTTAGGATAACTAAAATGATCAAGGATCATATGAATGAAATGTAAGGTCCTGACTGTGTGTGAGAGAGTCTGTGACAAGCGAAAGCTCAACAGATGAAATGGACAAACAATGTAATGTTGTACTAAAAATGCAAACACAGTTCCAAGATGTCAGTGCCACTACACCAGTATCCTTTTGTATCATTTAATTTACCCCCCCAGTGATAACAAGGCCAATATCCTTTTTTTAATATTCACTAGATCAGTGGTACTGAAGCTGCTCATCTGTAAAGATGGCTGTTTCTAGGGTGCAATGACACAGATGCTTCAACCAGACTATAAATGAAGTCTCTATTTCCTTAGAGCAAAACTCATTTTAAAATATCAGGTGAACCTCTCAGGTAGGCTTCATAATGCAGTTGCTATCCATTCTAATACCAGCTCTTAGTCTTGCTGCAAATCTGCAAAAGTTTAATGGTGCTCAGACCAAATTGTTACTAGCAGTGCACTCAGTCACGTTGCTACAGTGCTTACAATTGTGCAAATTGTTTTCATGACACTGTCATGAAGGCAAAATCTTATTTCTGGCCTACATGACCCTACATGGTTTGGTATCTGACAAAATTCACTTCCCCCTCTGTGTTAGTTACTTTTCTATCATTCCAAAATATCCAGCAGCCAAAGTTAAAGGGGAAGGGGTTTATTTCGCTTACAGTTCATAGAGGTTTCAGTCCATAATCAGTCAGCTCCAAGGCAGAGATGACCAACAGGTCTGGCCCAGCAGAAACAACATGGCAGACACGAAGTAGCCAAGGCAACAAGGGACCTTCGCCGAGTCTCTCTGCCTCCTTTATTCCATCCAGACTACCCGAATTCAGGCAGTGCCAAACTAATCATTCACATGTAGTGGTTTAGTAAACACACACAATCAACCCCAGCTTCACACTTTCCAAGTTCAACTACTTCTGAAAAAGAAAGTACCGCCTCATCTGCATGAGTCTTTAGGGAGACATCTAAACACAAACCATAACACCCTCACTCTCCAAGTTCTAATCACACTGCCCTTTTTCTATTCCTTGAATTTTTCAACTCAGATACAATTCATCTCTCCCTAGACCTCCAACACGTCTCCCACTTTGTCACACAACTTGTTCTTCCTTGTCATTTAATTTCAACTCTGAGGTCACAACCTCAGAGAAGATCCTCCTAAACGCTCAACCTGAACATTTACTATCACCTTCTGTGTTTTATTTTTATATGGCACTTAGCACTCTCTTAAATTGCTCTTTAACATGCCTAGTTATTTATGGCAATCTCCTTGTGTCCCTCACAAGGACTGTGACCCAGCTGCCTGCTCCTTCACTGTACCCCAGACCCCAGAACTGTACTTGGTTACCACAAATAGCTACTTCGATATTTACAAATGTATGATTCAATGAAGGAGTATGTTCAGTCTTTGCAGAACTGATTGATAGAACCATATGTTAAACACTGAAAGACTAAATCAACTTTCGAAGGCAGACTGTGGACTTTTATTCCTTCTTTGTCAAGCAAATATTTGGAGCATTTTGTCAGATAATTTCTTTGACGTTAATCATTGTGCTTCAACAATATTTTTCATACAATTATTCAAATATTTTATAGTATTGCCTTTGTTGCTTAGAAATGGCCAAAAATGAAATGTTTTACACATTGAATGATAGAGCAACAGTTCCAAATTATCTGATGATCATTAGCCTCAGTGGTCATTTACTTTAAACAAAATGACTATGTATTTTTAAGTGAAGGAAATTTCAGCTGGGAAATATGGGCTGGGGATGTAGCTCAATAGTAGTGTTTGCCTAGTGTGCAGGAAGCCCTGCATTCAATCTCCAGCACAGCAGAGAGAGAGAGAGAGAGAGAGAGAGAAAGAGAGAGGAAAAATAAGGGAATATGGATGTACTATTATTATACTAATGGGGATTATAGATAACAACAATTTATGGTACAGCTCAAAAAGCTAGAAGAAAGGAATTCGGAAGTTTTCGACAAAGATAAATGTTTGAGGCGATAAATGCTTAACCTGTTTTAAACATCACACGATACGTGCATGTACCAGACATTACATCATATCCCATTACTATGTACAACTTTTGTTTTATGTATCAGCTAAAAATAAACTAAAACATAAAAATAAAATTTTGAAAAAGAAAGAAAGTAAAAAATTTTTAAATACATTTTTGAAACGTTGTTACTATAGTTTGGATCCTAATATCCTCCAACAGTCTGGGAAGTGAAGGAAACTTTAAAAGGTGGGGCCTTGCTGGGGGTGTTCAGCACTGGGAATGTCCTCTTTAAGGGCACATTGGGCCCCCACCTCTCCTCTTCCTGTCTCAGTTTTGCTTCCCAACACTCTGAGGTGAGCAGCTTTCTCCTTACCCTGCCATGATGTGCCGCCCTGTCACTGGCACAAAGCAACTGGACTTGTCATCACGGACTGAAATCGCCAAAACTGTGAAGTAAATCTTTCCTCTCATAAGCTTATCATCACAAGTACTTGTTACAGTAACAAAAAGAAAGCTGACATACAGTTGTGGGCAACTGTTTGTATGAAGGCAAAATTAGTGCTTTTGTAATACTCTTCCTTTCTAGACTTGTTTGCATTTAGCTCATTTAATTTTCACCTACATTTGAAACATCTTAATCCATAAAAATATAAAACTGCTTATAACTGAGTTCTTATCTTATTCATGAAATCAGATACATTTTTCTAAAAGGACACAGGTAATGGAATCCTGAGCTTACTTTCACACCTAATCCAATTCTTGACACTTAAGAGACACGTGGAAACAGCAAGAGAGCTATAAAGTAAAATAAGAGTGTCATGACTATACGTTACATCTCTCTAAAAGGTTTATATACTTTTGCACAAAACACAAAAATAAAATGTCAATCTTTCATTTATTTTTCTCAGAATAAAGTTGACCAATCCCAGAATTTAAATCTGGTAACCATAATTCATAAAAAATACTTTGTGCATAACAACTATTCTGCTAAAACTTTGAAAGGTAAACATACCTTCATCAATGGGCTCATATTTCTGAATAATCTCAGAAGCAATATTTTTAGTTGTCTCAGTTTCATATTGTTCTTGTGTTAGAAATTGAATCAAATTACTTTCAAAAAGAATTCTCCGGTTTGCAGAATATGCATTGAAAATTTCAACAATTTCTTCTCTGTGTGCAATGATCCGATAAATTGATCTAAATTCTTCTATTGTGATTTTTCCTTGTTTCTGTCTGTCATTATCCTACTTAACAAAAAATGACTGGTAGGCTCACAATGTGAGTATCAAAAATGCACAAAACAAATTTTATCATATTCATGCAATAGGTACATAGCAATTTATACTTTAAAAGGAAACTTACACTGGGACTCATTAAAGATAAACATAAAACTGCAAGGAACGATGCCAAAATGGAAAAGGTTGGTAAATTATCACCTCTTAAAATGCAGGGACCACAGTGAGTATCGAAAGGGGTATGGAAGAAGAAGAGGGTTTCAGTTTGTCTTTCAAGTCCGTATTTCTTTTTATATTCCACTCCACTTCAATACCTTCCAAAAATATGCAGCCTGAACCATAAAATCTTCAGAGTTAATCAGAGATATCCAAGATCAATCAAAACTTCAGAAGCTGTAAGGTTTGGGGCAGCGGGGAAAGATGTCCTACTGAGGAAGAGAAGATTTGCCTGGTTAGCATGGAGAAGTCATATATAAATGTTTACAGTGAAAGGTAAGAATGCAGACTGGACTCAGTTATCAGAAGGGACAGAAACACTGTGAAGCTTTGAGTCGAAAACGACCAGCAAGAGTACAAGCTCAGCATGACTTGTTGTCCCTTAGCAACTGAAAGAAATGGGAAACTGTGGTACAATCACAGAAAAGATGCCATTCCCACGGGAAGTGATAAATAGACCCTAAAGAAAACATGTCAGTGAAATTATGAAGGAGTAGGAAAGATTCCACACGTTAGAGTGTTACACACATGACAGAATTCAGAAAGGATTAGACTAAAGAAAGAACTGCAGTAAGAAATACAAAAATCAGCAACAAATAAAAAACTGGAGAATAGGGAGCTCAATGAAGAAAGAGGTTTAGCTATTTTTTTATCATTTAATAAACCTCTTAATTCCCTCATTATGTTACACCTCAAATAAAAAATCATGTGCTCAAGGGCATTCTGTCATGGCAAAAAGCTAACAGAATGGGGAGATAGAGATGATATTATATCCCAAACTCCAAGATGTGTGGAGCTTTAAACATATAAATGGAACTTTCTGAGCTTCATACTTTATATCTGAAAAACAGGAATAGATAAAACAATTTATGTCCTGAGACAACTATGAGAATTGGAAATATACAGTAGTAGTTTCAAATATCAGTGTATATGTGTTGTCTTTGCTTCCCTTGCAGGGTCCAGCCTAATAGCTCTCAAAGATTTTCCTATGCAGCATACAACACCGTAGAACCCCTAGTATACAACAGGAAATGAGCTTTTAATTTCAATAGCAAAACATGCAAGTAATTACCAGGGGGAAAAAAGTACATAAGTGGATCCCAGAAGCAATCTGAGGTTGGAGCCAAATATGAAGATCACTGAGTAAGTTCAGAGAGGAATAGTGACCATGCAACTTGAAGAACCAGGCCTAGAACAAAGTGCCCAGTAGGAAGGAGATGGGGATATGTTTTGGGAGAAAACCTTGGGTCTGTGCTTGAGATACTGGGTCTCAAACCAGATACCGGGTCTCCAAAATGCTCTGAACAATAATAGCACCTTGTCCCTGTCCTGGCAATTTCATCAGATTAAGAAATGCCTAGCAGACAAGTAAAGCACGCTCCTGGGTGTGTCTGGGCAGGTCAGGGACGTGTTGTACATGATGTTTTGGTCATTGCTCTCTGTTACTGTTCCCCTTCTCTGCTTCCTGGCTGCCCTAAACCATTCCACCAAGACTTTTCTGCCTTGGAGTCAACCAACCATGTACTGAATCTCTTAAAACCATGAACTGAATTAATCATTTCCATCTTTATGTCGTAGGTGGGTTGTCACGTGTTATGTGTCAGTGATGGGGAGCTGACTAATGGATACCTTAAAATTATATAATCGTAAAATAACGCACCTTATCAATTATATACAATCAGGGTTGTGTCACAGAAGATGGGAAGAACTAAGTAGGAAAAGAAAAGTAACAAGGAGTAAGTAATGATGGAAAAGACAGGACACAGTGAAGAGAGTGATGCTTTGGGAAAGCAAGAAGATGAAAAGCAAGGAGCAAGAAAGGTACAAGTCTGAGGACTGAGGCACACAGTAGCATTGCAACTTAGAGTACAGATGCATTACTGTGACCCCCAAATCCACAGGGACAGAAAACTAAAACTACGAACTAACTCCAAAAACACAGGAAACAATAGAAAGTCCATAAAACCCTATACAAATTGACAGTACGTATGCAGAAGTAAATTCTGTGTCATGTAAATCTAAACATTCCAGCTCCCTCTTAAACTTCTTATTGAACTTTCCTTGTCTTCAAAATTAAACCTAACCTGTACTGTGTGGAATCTAAGCTTCTTTAAGGTGTCACTGATAGTTTCTGCTCCTATCCTTTTCCTCTTTGCATCTCCCACTTAGGTTGTACTAAATTAGTTACATTAAAGTAACTGTCTGTTATGGTTCATGCCATTCTTTCTGGAATATGCTTCTTGTTCTTTTTAACTTCTCAGCTTCTACTCCTCCTTGAGAGAGTGCTACCTCCTCCAAAAGTCTTCTCTATGTTCCTCTATAACTGCTCCTAAGGCTGCCTTAGACACCACTTCTCTGGGTCTCTCTGCAACTTCTTTTCACAGAGCTTATTACACCGGAGAGGAATCTTTCTCTGTATCCCTTCTAAAATTGCTTTGAATCGAGCACTTGTCATTTGTTTCTTGTATTCCTAGTACTTAAAAGAACGCAACCTGAAAATATTCAGAATGTGGTCTATTGCTTGAACAGCTTTAGATACACAAATTCTACAAACATTCTTATCTTCAATGTCTTAAAGGTGAAAAGAAGCTAATAATAACTTCTGTGAATGTTTGTTAGGATAATGAGCACAAAACCTAACCAGGGCCTAGAATATGGCAGATGACAAACAATATCATTCATATGGTTTTGTTGTTCAAGATAGAAAGCTAGGAATCTTTTTTATTTCAATAAGAGGTGAAGCCATTTTGAGTCAATAATATTTTGATTTTTATGTAATCGATGAGATTGTTTAAAAGTAGAATGAAAGGAAATAAAGAACTCAACTTTAAGAGCAAAGTAGAAGGGATGGTCACAGCGTAACTGGAAAAGGAATAATCTGTGATTTTAAATTAAAATTAGTAAAGAGTGGCATCATAGATGTCAGCATGGGCAGAATTCTTTTAAAAGAAAGCTGAATAAAATACACAGGAAAACTAGTGGATTTAGCATTTTAGACAGAAATAGGTTTTCTAGATAAATACAAAGGCATATCATATTGCAATGGATCATTGAATAAGTAGAGGAAGGGGTATAAAGGAATCTTTTAGCTTCATCTAAAAGAATGTAACAAAAGAGAATATGGTGCTGTTTATTATATTATACGAGATCACTTCAAGGTTTAAATTCTAGAGGAAAAATGAAAGAAGGAAACCACAAACTTGAAGTGAAATCAAACAGAAAATAAGAGACTGAATTGAATCAGCTTCAAAGTTTGAAGGCAAAAATGGTAGAGAAATAAACTACCACTGCCTGACTTCCAATTCCAAACAAAAGTATTTCTATCCTTCAATATACAAAATGTTTCAGATCAAAAAGTTTCAATGGCCACCCATTGCCTATGAAAGAAAATCCAAATTCTATGATCTCCCATGCAAACTTCCTGCTGTCCGACCATACCTGGCATTTGTAGCTACTTCTCAACACTTCCCTACATGCATCTGATATTCCAGGCATGTATGGTCATTTTTTTTAATTCTCCGAGAACTACTTGCATCTATTCTACATATATTGTCGCTCTCTCCTTCTCTTTCCCTGCCTGCCTCCCCCCTCTTGCTTCCTCCTCCATTCTCCTTCTTCCTCAGTGTCTCCCCCGCCTCCTGCCTCTCTATCTCTCTCCTGCTACCTCTCCTGCCCTTCTTCCTCTCCCTCTCTTCTGTTTTTTCCTCTCTGTCTGAGTTCGTCCTGGGGATTGAACCCAAGGTCTTCACACGAAGCTACATCCTCAGTCCTTCTTAAATTTTTTTTTAAAGACAGGATCTCGCTTTTATTTTTTCATTTTCTAAGGTCCATCAAAAATGCTACCTCCTACTTCACATTATCAATGATACCATTGGAACCTTATTTACACTTTTAGTTTCTCACAACAGAGAAACTATTCAGTACTTACACATGTGTGTCCTATCTACTTCACTTAAGAGTATGGCCTCAGTGTGCATCATTTAACAATGAATGACTCTAGTCTCTCATTCTTTATGGCTGAGTAGTGGGAAGGGCAGGGGAAAAAAAAAATATGAGAAAAGGAAAAAATGGAAACAAAGTCTTTGCAAATAGGGAAGGGTGGAGGAAGTGAAGGGAGGGCAGGGATAAGGGGAAAAAATGAGAACCAAGACCTGTCATGTAAAGGTACAAGATCCCGATGATGAATGTAACTGTACTGTGTACCTAAAAGGTACCAATAAACTCAATGAGGAAAAATGCCACCTCCACCATAGCATCTTCTAAGAAAACCCGAGTTAAAGAGTCTCTTTTGGGGCCAGGGATTTAATGCAGTGGTTCCGCCACCTGAAAAAGAGTCTTTTTTCTCAAATTCCCTATTAGAATTTGCAGGATGAATAATATTCCATTGCATGTCCATACCATAGTTTCACTATCCATGCTCCTGTCAATGGACATTTTGTTAACTTCCTTGTCTTCACTAATGCTTCATTGAACACGGGAGTGCAGGCGTCTCTTCAAGCCTTTTATTTCGATTCCTTTGGACTGACACCCTGAAGTGGGGCTTGGGGACCCCATGTTATTTCTAGTTTTAATTTTTGAGAAACTTTCATACTGTTTTCCGTAGTGGCTACACCGATGTTCATTTCCACTAGCAGTTGTAAAGGGTGCCTTTTTCTCTATATCCTTTCAGGTACTTGCTCTGTTCTTATTCGTGTGCATGCACACATATGAAAGCCATTGTAACAGGTGTGAGCTGGAATGTCACGTACTTGATTAGCGATGGTAAGCATTTTCTCCTGTTGTCCGTATGCCTTCTTTCATAAGAATGTCCACACACTTCTTAGCTCATTTTTAATCAGATTGTTTGCTTTTCCTTATTGATATCTTTATATATTTTGGTTATAAACACTTATCAGATATGTAGCTCGCAAATGTTTTATACCATTTTGTGGGTTATCTTTTCAATTTCTTGCTCTACTGTATATAAGCCATTTATATAGCGTCATCTATTTGTCTGTTTTACTTCTGTTGCTTGTGTTCTGGGTGTCAAATCCAAGAAATCATTGCCATGATCAGTGTCAAGAAGTTTTTTTCCCTGTGTTTTCTGCAAGAATTTTTAGTTTCAGGCCTGACACATAAGTCTTTCATGCATTTGGAATTGATTTTTGTGTATGATGTAAGAATACCATTTCATTCTTTTGCATGTGGTTAGTTTCTGTACCATCATCATCAAAAACACCATCATTTCCCATTTCATATTTTTAGAAATTTTGATGAAGTTCAGCTAACCTTGTATGAATGGGCTTATCTCTGGACTTTCTATTCTCTTTCCCTGGTTTGTATGTCTATTTTAATGCTCCTTACTATACTTTTCATAGTTTGCTATTTAAAAATTTTTTAATCAAGAATTGTCCACTATGACTTTTTCCTCTTGTTAGTCAAACATAAATTTTAAAATCTCTTTCTGCAAAAATTTCACTTGAGATTTTAATAGAGATTCTATTGAATTTGTAGATTATTTTACATAGTATGGACATATCTTTCCATATTTTTTGTCTTTATTCTCAATGTCATAGTTTTATTTTACAAGATTTTCACCTCCTCCTCTGTTAACTTTTCCCTAGATTCTGTTAATTGAAAAAAAATGTTTTCTTAGTTTTATTTTTTGAGGTAGTTCATTGTCAGTGTATAGAAATGGAACTGATTTTTGCATGTTGATTTTGTATTTTTTTATTTTGCTGAATTTATCTAACAGTTTTTTGACACAGTTGTTCCAGTTTTCTACATATAAAATCATGTCATCTGCAAATTAAGGTAATTTTACTTCTGCTTCTTCAACTTGAATAACTCATTTCTTTTTATTAACTAAGCGGTCAGGCTAGGACTTCCATTACTGTGTTGCATAAAAGTGGTCGGCGTGGACATGCTGTTTTCTTCCAAATCTTAGAGGAAAATTTTTCCCTTTTTTACCATTATATATATTAGCTGTGGATTTTTTACAGACTATATATGTTGAGGTAATTTCCTTGTATACCTTATATATGACAGATTATCAGTAATGCTAATGAGATTCTGAATTTTCTCAAATGCTTTTTCTGCCTTGATTGAATGACCTTTAATCTTCAGTTTGTTAATGTAGTGTATTGCGTTGAATTGTTTCTGTATGTTGAACCACCCTTGCATTTTAGGAATAGATTCCATTTAGTCAAGGTATATTGTCCTTTTAAAGTGTTTTTGAATTTAGTTTGCTAATATTTTTCTAGGGATTTTGCATCTATGTTGATCAAAGGTATTGGCTTGTAGTTTTCTTGTGGTATCTTGTGTCCAGCTTTGATATTAGGGTTTCTCTAGCTTTATAAAATAGCACTGGAAGTAGTCCCTCTTCTGTTTTCTGGAAGCATTTGGAAGTATTAGTATTGACTGTCTTTTAAATCTTTGGTAGACTTTGTCTATAAAGGCATTTGAACCTGGCTTTTTTCTTTGTTGGCAGATTTTTGAACACTGATTCAATCTCATTTGTTATTGGTCTACTCAAGCTTTTTAGTTCTTCTTGATTCAGTCTTGGTAAGTAAAGTTCATAAGAATTTCTCCATTTCTTTTTAAGTTGTACAATTTTTGGCATATGGTTCTTTATAATAATCCCTTATGAACATTTTTCTCTCTGCGATATCATTTGTTTGCTCTTTCATTTACAATTTTATTTGAGGATTCTTTCTTTTTTCTAAGTCACAAGGGTTTCCTAGTTTTGTTTCCCCAAAAATAACTTAGTTTTATTTTCTATTCCATTTATTTCAGTATCAATCTTCATTATTTCCTTCCTTCTGCTAACTGTGGGCTCAGGTTAATCCACCATTCTATATTAGTCAGCTTTCTAGTCACTGAGACAAAACACCTGACAAAACGTCACAGCTGAAAGAGAAGTTTACTTTAGCTCACAGTTTCTGGAGATTAAGTCCATGATTAACTGGCTTCAGAGAAGGACCATCATGGCAAAAGAGTTTGGAAAAGCCAAGCTGCTTAGTCCATAGTGGCCAGGAAGCACAGCAAGGGAACAGTGCCAGAGAAGGGGCAATGGGCAAGACCCACACCTCCAAGACCCACCCAGACACACCAAGACATGTGCTGTACCATTCCTCTGGACAAATCCCAAAGCCACTAGAGTTAACCCACCACGCCAACCACCACATCCCACCCTTCCCACCTTAAGAAGGTGATAGACTCACCTTCTTAAACCATACTAATCCCCAAATAAAGACATCAGCAAGTTCATGATTCTACCTAACGTAATTCAACTATCCTGAGTACTGGAAACACAACAATCACTTCCACAAAGTTAGAAGAGTTCAAGCATTTTTCAAAAATCCAAGTCAGGGCCAGGGATTTGGCTCAGTGGTTCTGCTGCCTGCCTCACAAGCACAAGGGCCTGAGTCTGATCCCTGGTATAAAAAAAAAAAAAAAAAAAACCTCAAAAAATCCAAGTCAAAGTTTCTTCTGAGAATCCAGGCAAACTCTTAGCATGAAACTCTGTAAAAATAAAAAAAAATACAGTCACATAATCCCAAGGTACAGGAATTATGGCATAGAGTAAACATCCTCATTCCAAAAGGGAGGAGTAAAGGCATAAAAAATAATTGGACCACATTACGATTGAAGCCCAGCAGGGCAAATATTCAGTTCTGTAGTAATACATCCAGGATGTAGGGTACAAGACATGAGTCCCAGAGGGCTTGAGCAGCCCCATCCCTACAGCCTTGCTGACTGTGGCTCACATGGCTTCTCTCTTGAGCTGGCTCCACTCAATGCTTGCTGCTTTCCCAAGTAGATGTTCTGCTCCAACTTCTGAAAGTATCTCCAACTTCCTCAAATCTCCACTGTACCTTCAACTTCATTTCCACAGCTTCACACACTGCTTTCTAGGGGCTCCTTGCCTGGTCTTCCAGGCTTTCCTTTTAAATCTAAGTGGAAGTGTCTCTAACTCCCCAGCTACTGTATTCTGTACAGCGGTAACAAAAAACATCATGGGGTACTGCCAAGGTCTGGTGTCATTGGAAGCAATAACCAGACTCCCTTAGACCATGACAACAGCAAGTACCTGGATGGCTGAGCACAGTAAAATAAATCCCAGGGAAGCAAATCCTCAGGTGGCCCTTCCAGAGAAGGGGTTCCAGTAGCTGTCTTCTCAAGTGGAAGGTTTATATATTGCACTCTTGAACCTGTAATGGGTGGGATTGATGAGTGGGATCTTGTTGATTCCTGAGATGCCTTCAAAACATTTTTCTTATTGTCCTTGTACAAAGTATTTGCTTTCTTCTTTTTAATAGTGACAATCTCTTCAGCAGCCACACCTCCACTGGCCACAAATTTACATATGGTTCCTCAGGTCAAAATTTAAGTTTTTGAAATTTTCCTCCTCTACCTTTTGCCCTGAATTCTTGCTATAAATCTAGCCAAAAGAAGCCAGCATTACTCACATCACAACCTAAAGGTTTGGCTATCTTGAAATTGCCTCTATCAGATTAATTAGTCCACCGCCCTAATCTTAATCTCCTGCAAAGCCTCAGGACACCCGCAAAACATGGCCACATTTTCTCCCAGAATGTAAAACAAGTGGCCCCTAGAATATATGTCAATGTAGTCCTCACTCCCAACTGAAACTTTCTGAGCCTGGTTTTAATGTCTAACTTCCTACCAGCATTCTGATCTTCTGAGTTCTGACCTCAGTTACCCATCCAATTTGCTTATAACATTCAGAACTTCTCTAGCTGGCATCTCCAAACCATCCAAAACTACTCCCACACACTAGTCCCAAAGGTTTCTGATTCACATGATCAGGATAGTCATACCAATGACCCTACTTCTCCATTACCAATTTTTATATTAGTCAGCTTTCTCATTACCGAGACTCAAAAGAAAGGAATATTAGTTTAATTTTGCTCATTTTTGGGTATTCAGCCCATGATTAGCTGGCTCCAAGACAGGAACATATGGCAAAATGGCATAGGACAGCAAAGCTAGTTAGCTCATGGTGGCCACAAAGCAGAGCAGGGGAACACTGCCAGAGAAGAAAGGGAGAGGGACGAGACATAGACTCCTCCAGCCCGCACCTCCATAACTGATCCAGACAAAATCGGAAATATGCTTTACTAATCCCTGCAATACATCCCAAAGCTAATCCAGTTGATACTCCATCCTACTCATGACATATGCTTTCTATAAACTACTTACACTGAATCTATTTTTGCATTTAATCATTTATATGATTTTGACATACAGCCAAGCCTAGATCAGATGTAAGCAGTCCTTCATATTCAGGAAGTTGTGCTAAACCAATAGCCTGGTATTATTTCAAACTTAGTCAGCAACCAACTTTACTTCCTCCCTAAATCTCTTCAAATTGATTATAAATGTAGTTAGCATAAAGAATTCATTTTATTCTTAAGAGATTAATTTCTCATATATATTTTGTACAGAAAGCATTCAAGTAGCCTAATGTTTACTTAGATTAAGTGATTCTTAGAGTGGGATGGTCAGGGAGTGGATGTCATCTTACCTTAAAAATATGTTTCACATGCACATAATTGCACTGAATATGTAATTTTTCAAGTAATTTATATGTTTTTTCTACGTTAATTTTTCCACCTCTAAATGCATCCTGAATCTTCGACAAAAACCACGTATGAAGCATGAAAATGTTAAGGAAATTCTCAGAGAAAGTCATCAAGTATTCAAAATTATTGAAGAGCTACTTTATCTTCAGTTTACCTGTACTTTTAATTTAGAGGATAACCCATACTGTGTTTAAGTACATAGCAAAATAATTGTGTGATAATTAGTATTTAAAACAGACATAGATAACTACTATGCTTTAGTAAAGATATAAAAGAGTACAACACAAAAACATACAGGAAAGGTATAAAGATTAAAAGTAGAGAAATAAAGTAATTACTTGGGAGATTCATTCAAACATTATTACTGTGTTTCATGAGCCCTGAAGGATTAAGAGGCAGCTACACTCCAAGATCCCCCTCACCTGACCTCTCTCATCCTTGAAGGTGGGCAAATCAGTACTAAATCTCATGGAAGAGGGAAGCATTAAATAAGTCCACAATATGTCATTCAGCACAGTTCCTGCTACTGAGTGTTCAATAAATAATAACCATGATTGGGCCAGAGATTTAGTTCAGAGGCACCACACCTGCCCCACAAGCACAAGGTCCTGAGTTTGATCCCCGGTACCAAAAAATAATAACATAATAATAATAACCAGATTGATATTATTACATTTTCCCAACTGTCCTATCATATTTATGCCCTCACAAGTAACATTTTAAATATCAAAAAGAGTTTAGAATATCATAAATGTGCAAATTTGGTATGAGAGAAACAAAACCAAAATAATCATGTATATTTACATATACAGATCACCTACAAACATTAGAGCACTTCAATCTGAAAAACTATAGTGGACATGAAATAAGTCAACAATGTATAAAATCATGAAAGTTAATAGGTAAAAATCGTTCAAAATTCCACTCATTTTCAGATTGGTAGAATAGAGAAGCCTTTAAATTTAATACTTAGGACTTATGCAAAGCTCATGTTCTCACAGGAAAAAAGAAAGAGGAGTCAAAGGAGATCCAGAAAAACCTCAGGAAAGATGTGGAAGAAAGTTGCAATTTACTTTAAATTTAATTTAACTTAAAGTTGCAATTTAAATCCAAGCCTTCCAAAGAAAATGAGAAGAGTAACAAAAGAGAGGGTGAACCGTTTGGGTGCCGTGGCACAGGTCTACGATCCCAGCATTCTAGGAGGCTAAGTAATGAGGATCACAAGTTTGAGCCCAGCCTGGGCCACTTAGGGAGGCTTTGTCTCAGAATGCAAAGTCAAAAGAGCTAGAGATGTAGCTCCTGTAGGTCCAGTCCCAGTACTGTACCCCCAGAAAGAGAGAAGTAAAGGAAGAAAGGAAAGAAACAAAAAGAGAGAAAAGGGAACAGAAAAACTCTCCGAACGGATATCTCATTTCACTCTTTTCATGACCTGTCGGTGCCATTTCCTTTCACCGTTTCTGCTCTCTTAGGAGTCTCTGCTGGACGTGAGTTGCCACAAGTCCCAAATATGACTAGTTCTGCCTCTCTGTATGGGAAAGGAATTTCTTGATATTCATCAGCTGTTGTCACTATGGAGAAAGCAGAGAACGTACAGTTTTTCACCTTGTTCTTTGGAATTCACTCATATTTAAATCTCACAAAAACATCACGCAAGACATGGGCCCAGCAGGACCTTTCCCAAAACTTTTGGTTTCTTGTTTGTATTCTGTTCACTTCCAAACCCATTATGTTTATAAATGTAGCATTTCTTGCTGTCTGGCACTTTTTCACGAACCTTTGATCTTGTTTTACTTTTTACCGTTTTGTTGAAACGTCAAACCTTTCACCACAATGTGTTTCCATCTGGTCAAGCAGCTAAGGGCCTGAGCAAAGTCAATGCCATGGTAATTGCTGGAGGAGTAATACGTTACCCAACACTCTGCAGAAACTCTGAACTACGTCTCTAGATCCCAGACAACACGCAACACACACAGCAACACACCACTTTGGAAGAAGCCTGCTCAGGAGTCTCTGTTCTTTAAAATCTTCCACATTGGTATCGCACTGGTTGGCTGGGCACCATGCTGTTAGGTGACTGTCATTTTTTCCCTTTGGGTCCGAACACTCATTGTGAAATCATCGAACATTCCACGCTTCATAAAGAAGCTTTCTGTGTGACTTCACCAGGAGACTGACAGCCTGCCAAGCCACCTGTTTTCACGGTTGTACACAGTGATCTTAAACTCGAACGATTAACACCTTGATGGGAAGCACCACTCATGGAATGTTTTTCCAGCTTTTGAAGACTCTCTGCTTCAGAAGCTCTGCTTCTGCCACCACCAATCATGGCGGTTAGCGTTCTGAGTCGGAAAGAGAAAGAAAGAGTCATTCGCAGACTGCTAATGCAGGCCCCACCGGGGGAATTTGTAAATGCCTTCGATGATCTCTGTCTGCTTATCCGTGATGAAAAACTTATGCACCATCAAGGTGAGTGTGCAGGCCACCAGCACTGCCAAAAATATTGTGTACCACTCTGCATCGACGGCAATCCGGTACTCTTGTCTCACCACAATGTAATGGGTGATTATCGATTTTTTGACCAGCAAAGCAAACTTTCTTTCAAATTTGACCTGCTGCAAAATCAGCTGAAAGACATCAAGAGTCATGGTATTATTCGCAACGAGACAGAATACCTGAGAACTGTTGTCCTGTGTGCCTTAAAACTGTATGTGAACGATCACTATCCAGCCGGAAATTGTAATGTGCTGAGGAAATCTATCAAAAATAAGGAATTCTTGATAGCGTGCATCGAAGATCACAACTATGAAACAGGAGAATGTTGGAATGGTCTTTGGAAATCTAAGTGGATTTTCCACGTGAATCCATTTCTAACCCTAGTAACAGGAAGAATCTTTGTGCAAGCTCACTTCTTCCGGTGCGTCAATCTTCATATTGAAATCTCCAAGGATGTGAAAGAAAGCTTAGAAGTCGTCAACCAAGCTCAGCTGGCTCTCAGTTTTGCAAGGCTTGTGGAAGAGCAAGAGAATAAATTTCAAGCTGCTGTCTGTGAAGAATTACAGGAGTTATCCAATGAAGTCCTGAAAAAAAATCTACGAAGAGATCTTCCCGTGACCCGCACGCTTATTGACTGGCAGAGGATTCTCTCTGACTTAAATTTGGTGATGTACCCTAAGTTAGGATATGTCATTTACTCAAGAAGCGTGCTGTGTAACTGGATAATATAAAGGATTTCTTCTGGCAGCTGTCTTGACCTGATATGGTCATGTTTCTGGCGAGTGCTTCTTTTCCTAAATTGGAGTAGATTGTAGAGATGTTTATTTCTAGTCCTGAGTTCACACAGGGAAAAGTATGAGAAGTAATGTTACGCAGACAGTGCATACTAAATGGCACAAAAGGGTAAATTTATATTTCATAGTGTTTATGGTCATAAAGCAGAGAAATAACCTAAAATAGTTTGTAATACTCAATAACTCCAAAAATATTATGCACATGCCAGGATCAAGATCACACATCTGGCTAGGGATTTAGCTCAGCGGCTCGGTAGCCTGCCTTGCAAGTGCAAGTTCAATACCAGGTACCA